AAAAACAAATATTGTATATTAACGCATATATATGGAATCTGGAAAGATGGTATTGATGAATCCATCTGCAGACAACAACAGAGATGCAGACATAGAAGACAGATTTGTGGACACTGTGGGGGGAGGAGGACAAATAGACAGTAGGATGGCAACATAAATTACCATACATTAGATAGCCAGTGGGAATTTGCTACACAATGTAGGTAACTCAAATCAGGTGCTCTGTGACAACCTAGAGGGATGAGAATGGGGTGGAAGGTGGCAGGGAGGCCCAGGAAGGAGGAGACATGTGTATACCTGTGGCTGATTCACGCCGATGTATGGCAGAAACCAATTGTAGAACAATTATCCTCCAATTAAAAATAAACTTAAAAAAACAAAATAAATGGGCAGCACAGATGTTTCAGGGAGAAAAAAAAATGTGCTGACTGCACAGAACCTTTTGACTTTTTCTCTTGGACCAAAGCTCACTTTTATTCCTTGTTTTACCTGATGGGTTCCACAGCCTTGACAGAGTCCCTTGAGCATGGATGGCATCGACCTGAGGGCTGATGGCTTTCTGTAATACTGGGGATACGCTTTGGCCATGCAGTTACTGATGTCTTTTGAGTCTGTTGCTGCCTGGATCTTGACTCGTTCACATCCCTGAGATGAACAGTAACTGTGACCATCCCTGTGGCTTTTGGCTTTAAGATACAGAAACAGCAACCTGCACAAAACAGACCAGTCCAAAGGGTATTAGATTTTGACTTTCAAAAACTTACAAAAGTTTCTCAAATTAACTCACGGCCAGCGGGGATATTCCTCCAATAAAGTAATTTTTTTCTTAAAAGAAAAATAACTTATAAAAGTAATAAAGTTGTTTCTCTTTCCTTTCTGTCCTCATAGGGTTCTAAGTCAAACACAATACCACTTTAGAAAATATCATGAAAATCTGATTCAGTCATTAAGGACAGTATCAAAGTAAATTTCTGGTTTGAATAACCTCAATAGGTAATTTGGGAAGATGGAATTTGGCTTGGCTCAAAAACTCCTTGGAAAACTTAATACTTATGTTGAGTTTAGGATTTGGTAAATTAAGGTGGTTTATTCTTTCTTTCTTTTTCTTTTAGTTTATACATTATTTTGTTTTAAGGCACAAAACTGGAATAATAAAAACAGCAAATTTGAGACTTGTTTGTTTAAGGCCAAGATATAGTCTCAAATCAATTCCTGCGATGTATACTAAGAGCAGATGGGCCTGGAGTCCTTCTGTCTATACTTTGGCCAAAATCAAGTAAAATGATCAGTCCCACCCATTCTGAATTCTCCTCCAAAATGAATGGAAAAGCAACTTCCAGGCAGCAGTCCAATGTCTTGTCAGCAAACCTAGGCCTTCTAAACCAAAGGAAGTCAAGATTCCAAAAATGACTTGATCAACTGTGACTGATTACTGGAGTTCACTAGTTCACATTTTAAAATGAGGTCAAAAAATAAATAAATAAAAATAAAATAAAATGAGGTCAACAAACAATACAAAGTTGAGATTATGAGGTGAAAATCAGCCACTGTTTCAACATCTAGTAATTTTAACATATACATAAGGAATGACAGGGATCTAATTAGGCAGGTGCCTTTTGATATATAATTAAAATCATCAAAATGAACAGAAGTAAAAAGAATTTGAACCTCAAAGGCTGCAAGGTTCTAGAAATACCCAGATGAAGCAATATTTCCTGTCATTGTGCATATCAATCATTAATTTGTGATCACCAGACTGTCCTTAAAAATTTGGGCCTTACATTTATTTTTGCAGAAAATCAACTGGGAATGTGGCTGTTCTGTCATCTATAGAATAAAAGTCCAACTAGGTTTTTACAGGTTAATCAGAAGCTAATCACACTGGCTGCTGCACCAGCCCTGGAGGGCAAATGAGTTGCTTCTTACCCAAAGGCTAACAAGAAAATCAAGTGACCAACCTCATTTCCCCACAGTCAGTCCTGCCACCCTTCTCTTTAGTCCAAAATGTTGTCTTTCCCCAAACATGCCATGCCATGTTTTTCATGCCTCCATGCATTTATCCACACTGTTCTTGGAACACTTACTCGTCTCCTCCTACTCACTCCTCAAGAGTTAGCCCCAGCGTCACCCTCGTGGGTTGTCACTGACCACCTAAGGCTGAACTCAAGGATTATCTCAAAAGGCACTTACAGCATTTACTATAGGACTTACAGCATTTAAACCTTTCACCCTCTAATTACTTGCTTTACATGCCCACATCCTTCAATGGACAGTCAATTTGCAGAAGAAATGCATCTTATTTACATGAGTATCTTTTTATAGTACCTAGACAATGGCGTGGAGTAGAAATGTCAGCTTAAAGAATGGATATTGGAGGAGCATGCTACTTTCTGGAAGAGTACAGGAGATCAAGCCTACCATAACCCAAAGGCTGAGAGACTGTAACTGGATAAAAGCAGACAAAGCCAACAGGACCCCAGGTGAACAGGATTAGAATTAAAAAGTGGAAAGATGCAGCCTAGAGAAAGTTGAAAGCAAATATGCCATGGTTACACAGTGTTTTTTATTGTTTTTTTTTTTTTAAACCCAAGGTCAACTTGAGAGATAGCCTTAAAGGAACAGAAAAATGAGCTTTCATTAAAATATGAACTATATCATAAGGAAATAATCATCTTTAGAGTTGTTATGGAAAACATTATTTTAATTTTCAATTGGGCCTACTGGTTCTTTATTGACAAGGAAAATTTCTCTCTCTAAATTGCCTTAATAGGTATACGGCAAACATCTCACTCGATTCCTACTGCCAACTGTAATTATGAGTCATTCTAGTTCTCCTTAAACCTCTAATGGTGATGAGCAGAGAATTACCCACATCAGCTGCTTTTCTAACTAGCCGTCACATCACAGCCTATTCTTAGTTACACTGAACAACTAGTAATTTCACCATTAAGGAAAAACAGCAGAAATGTTCGTTCACTGGTTGCCCTGAATTACCCGGTGCTGGAGTCAAAATAGAATTTCCTCTCAGCCTGCTTCTTCTGCAATTCCTCCAACGAATGCACAGGCTCATACTCCTCCATTTTGGATAACGAGCCATTATGCCGCTGTAAAAAGCCAAAGGTAACCTGAAAACTTGTGTTTGATGGATAGCAGAGACCAACTCGAATCCAGTCATTCCTACAAAGGAGAGACAATAAAAACACAAGTCCACATTTAGCCAACATCTTTTGAGTATTACAGCAAATGTAAATTTTAGCCATGATCTTCTCCTCCTTAAATTTCTACTGTGTAGGGAGCCACAAACAATCAAAGTCCTGAACCCTAACACACTTAAGTTATCCACTTTTCCATGTTACCCAGATTTCTCTCATCGCATATTTACAACAATGATATGACTTACAAAAATCTTGTTTGCAACAAGACTTCAAAGAATGTGAACAGACATTGGATAAAATGTACCAGATACTGTAAGCAGATAATAAAATTAAATGAGACTGTTGGGAATGGGTACACTAAGATGGAATAAACACTAATAGCCTGATTGTGGAAATGTACACTGCTAAAAGTTTTCCAAAGGATTTTTTTATTCATAAATATATCTTTATCTTTTATAATAACACTAGGATAAATTCCTAGTGGAAAATTGCCAGTTGCTGCTGTTGTTGTTCAGTCACTAAGTTGTATCCGTAACCCACCAAGCTCCTCAGTCCGTGGGATTTTGCAGGCAAGAATACTGGAGTGGGTTGCCATTTCCTTCTCCAGAGGATCTTCCCAACCCAGGGATCAAACCCACATTTCCGTCTTGGCAGGCAGATTCTTTCCCCCTGAGCCACCGGGGAAGACCTAAAATTGCTAGAGATAAAGGTATATGCATTTTTAAAGTCTTTGATAATATTACCAAATTGCAATAGTGTTTTTTCTTACCTAATGTTCTTGGATATAAAATTAATACTCTTCAAAAACCATTAAAAATATTTCTCCTTTTTTTATCATTTGCTTTTTTCTGATTTTCTTTAAATTGTGGTAAAATACAAAATCTGCCATGTTAGACATTTTTAACTTTACAGTTCAGTGGCATTACATACATTCACAAGGTTGTACAACCATCACCACTCTTCATTTCCGGAACTTTTTAATCATTCTAAAGAATTTTAAAACAATACGTAATGAGGGTTTAAAACTGTTCACACAAATTTCATCCAGTAATCCCACTAAAGAATTAGAAACACAGACCAAAAATAAATAAGAAAAGTATTCTATTCAGTATCATTTGTAATACCAAAATGGGAGGAGGGACAGGAGAAAAACAATCTAAACATTCATGGGGGAATGGAATAGTTAAATACATTTTGGTATAAGATATGCTCAGAGAACCTTTGAGGGTGGAGAGAGACCAGAACCCTATACACATTTACAATGCCTTACTTTGATTAGAAGAATTATAGGTTATTGTAATTTTCTCTTTGTTTTTCTGCATTTTCTTAGTTTGTGCAATAAGTATAGATTTATAACTTTTAAACTGTTATTTTCTTTTTTTTTTTTTAACTGTTATTTTCAAAAGTGCTACTATGACAAAATCCATGATCTCTCTATAATTATCTTAAACATGGGGAAAAAAACTTACCATCTCCTCCTCTTGCCTCTGCCCATGATACAATTTTTACAAACTTTTAGATGATTAAACAAGGAAAGTCTGACTGAATTTCAAGCCCATATGGAGTTTTGAAACTTCTGACTCAGCTCTTTTTTCACTTTAAAATGTTTTTTACTTGCTCAGTACTTATTCAAAAAATTATGCCTGGTAAGTACAGAACGCTGTTTACCTTTTGACTGTAATATCTCACCCTCAGGTTCACAACCTACCAGCTATAACTTTTTGGACTGCTGATCACTCTTTGGCATGTCTCCCCCACCCTCTCTGACAATCGTTTGTTCTTTCATTGACTTCTAGATCACTCATAGACGGGAGTGATATGATCAGACTGACTTTTAAAATAGACTACACCCTGGACACAATGTGGGCCAAGGACTGGAAGTCGGGGGAGTGGGAAGACCGAGTAGGAGGCTGCTGCAGGGATCTAGGTGAGATGATAATGACTTAGTCATAAGCAGTGAGGGTGGCAAGAGTGAAGACATTTGAACAATATTAAGGAGACAGGACCAACCGGGCTTGGCCACTAATAGGATGGAGAAACGAGAGAGAAGAAAGAGCCAAAGATGAGTCCTGAGTTTGTTTTCTTTTTCTGACTTGGTTGACTCAGTAAGTGAAGGTGCCCTTTGACAGCAACAAGTATTACAGGAAAACAGTAATGGTTCAGTTTAGAGCATATGCCAGAGGCCTAACATCTCAGAATAAGATCATCTACCATATGTTCAGCCATTCTTGAAAGTGGCCTACTTAGAGGCGAATTCCTATATCATCTATGTCCACCTCTCTCTGTTCATTTCAGTTAGTACTTTAAGAGAGTTCTGACAAGTCAAGGTTTATGACCAATCAGGTGAACAAACCATTTCAATTTTTCAGGGACATATCTGAGCAGTTTCATGGCGTCCCATGGTTTAACCACCGCACATATCTAGTCCCAGCTCTGGTTTCTAGTCTCATCTCTGTCACTTCCCTGACCTAGGCTCCCACGGCAATCAATACATCAGTCTTTGAGCAGAACTAGACCTTTTTGGACTCTGCTGCTTTTGTAACAAAATGATCACTTACTGTCACTTCCTCAGTGCAGCCTGGCCCAACTCCCTTATGCAGAATAATTGCTCGTATCCTTCGTCCATTAAAAAACACTACTGGCTTATTTACTTAAATTTTGTTCTACCTCTATACTGTGAGCTCCTAAAGGACAAGTATTTCTCTCGGTCATCTTTGTATCAACTGGCACACAGTAAACATGTAAGTAAATTAATGTAAAAACAGAGGTCTTGATTAAAAGTAATATTATGAGAGCAGACAACTGAGAAGTCAAGAGGAAACAGAAAGATGACTTCACATACAGGCAGAGGTGCAAAATACCTGGCATTCATGCCACAATTTTCCACTCCGTGCCCACTGCTGACATGAATAATCAATCATACCACTCTCTTCTGTCAAGTCTAAACTTGGCCTCAAAAACCTTTTTACTTTCTAGGTAACCAAGTGCTCAGTTGGAACACCAGATAAAAATGTCTTCCTAAGCTGTGGTACATATACACCATGGAATATTACTCAGCCATTAAAAAGAATTCATTTGAATCAGTTCTAATGAGATGGACGAAACTGGAGCCCATTATACAGAGCGAAGTAAGCCAGTAAGATAAAGACCATTACAGTATACTAACACATATATATGGAATTTAGAAAGATGGTAACGACAACCCTATATGCAAAACAGAAAAAGAGACTCAGATGTATAGAACAGACTCTGGGAGAAGGCGAGGGTGGGATGTTTCAAGAGAACAGCATTGAAACATGTATATTATCTAGGATGAAACAGATCACCAGCCCAGGTTGGGTGCATGAGCCAAGTGCTCGGGCCTGGTGCACTGGGAAGACCCAGAGGGATCGGGTGGAGAGGGAGGTGGGAGGGGGGACCGGGATGGGGAATACATGTAAATCCATGGCTAATTCATTTCAATGTATGACAAAAACTACTGTAATGATGTAAAGTAATTAGCCTCCAACTAATAAAAATAAATGGAAAAAAAAAAAATGTCTTCCTATCCCAGCTATGGAGAATTAAAGTATTCAGCATACAGTATTAAAACCTACTGTTGGGGAATTCTCGGCCAGGCCAGTGGTTAAGATTGGCTCTCTCACTGCTGAGGGCCCAGGTTCAGTCCCTGCCCGGGGAACTAAGATCCCATATTTCCACATACAAGCCACGTGGCACAGCAAAAAAAAAAAAAAAAAAATCCTACTGTTAAGTGGCTTTCTGCACATAATACCTTGGCCATAGAGAAAAATACATGCTTTTAAAAGGAGAGGATTCAAGCTAAGGATACAATCCCTTAATTCCATCAATATAACATATATAGCCTTCCACAAGGGGAACAGAGTACATCAACACGGCATTCTTTACTTGCTACAAAGGAGATAGGTTATTATTTTTCTCTACTAAATTACTATTTGCTCAACTATTTGAAATAACAGTAACAGAAGCATACTTGTTGAAGTTTATGAGGTATAGAAAAGCAGTCTTGGGTGCTGGCCCATTCCAGTGGATGGTGTAGCCCTTCTCCAGCATGATCACGGGCTGGTACTGCGAGAAAGCTGCCTTCTGGTTAATTCCTCGGAGCACCATAGGGTAGTCTGGATACTCATCTCGTGTGATGGTCATAGTCAGATTCGGAGTGCTCCATGTCTGCACATAGACCTTCAAAAAATAATTAAGAATTAAAGAAAAGAGAATGAAAATTTAAATAGCTAAGAAAAACACTTCTGGCAAAAGTCAAGTGTCTCCACTTTCAAAAGAGAGATTCTATGATCTGTGCCAGACAAAAATGAGTAGTAGCCAACTTCATCCTAAGCTCCACTTACAATGAAGCCTACTTAAACTGAAATGGTAAAAACAGACTATGTGTTCTGCTAGCCAAGATCTTCATCATCTCTTCCACAACAGGCCAGCTTATTCATCAGAATATAAAACTTTTGTGGTTTACATAGCTTGTCAAAGAAATCCCTCAATCTGAAGTACACACATATAAAAAATTAGTAAATTAATGTGAAAACTGATACCCTCTAGTTAAATCTGAAAGGTTTTCCTCTGAAATAAGAGGTGGAAATTTAAAATATCTTAGAGCTTTGGCTTTCGATTTTCCATGACCTGCATCAGCCCAAGAAGTCATTTTTCACCCATTAAAAAAAAAACAGTTATAAAGTGTTCTGCAAAAACTGGAAAAACATATTAAACTGAGGCAAATTTGAAAGCCCTGAGTTTATTCCAGTGGCATTTGGGCCCCATGCTACACCAAAACAAAATCTTCCCCAAATGCATTCTCCAAGGAACAAACCTCAGAACAATTTCCTAAAACAAGTCAGCATCCTGTAACAGAATTCCCCAGAAGTATCGAAACATCTGCAGAATGCTGCGTTTAATCCACAAACTTCTCTGTTTTCTGTTTCTCTATTCCACAGTTTTGTCCATAGTGATTCCTTAATTATAAATTCTTTGAGCCAGAAAGTCTGAACTCTCATTTGTGTTTGACTATTTCTATACAACTTGTCCCTACTTACACCATGTAAAGATTAAAATACAGATAGGAAATATATAGTTTGAGACTGATTGTCTTCATTTAAATATATGTGTTTAATATATTATATTTACCTACTGTTTATTTAAATGTTTATATGTGACCTGTACTTCATTACATTGGGTTGACCAAAAACTTCTTTCAGGGTTTTTTCATTACATCGCAACAGAAAAACCCAAATGAACTTTTTGGCCCACCCAATAAGAGGTTATATAAAGGTTACATATAAAGTATAATAGAATGCACACCCCACCCCAAACACATATCTAAAACCTGCCTTCTTCTAAATCTAAGGATTTGAGGTGGCATATGCTCCTTATGAGGGCTTCCCTGGTAGCTCAGCTGGTAAAGAATTCGCCTGCAATGCAGGAGACCCTGGTTCAGTTTCTGGGTCGGGAAGACCCCCTGGAGAAGGGACAGACTACCCACTCTAGTATTCGTGGGCTTCCCTGGTGGCTCAGTCGGTAAAGAATCTGCCTGCAATGTGGAAGACCCAGGTTCGATCCCTGGGTTGGAAAGATCTCCTGGAGAAGGGCATGGCAACCCGCTCCAGTCTTCTTGCCTGGAGAATCCCCATGGACAGAGGTGCCTGGCGGGCTACAGTCCATGGGGTCACAAAGAGTCAGACACAACTGAGCGGTAAGCACAGGACAGTACAGCATGCTCCTTATGACACCTACCACCTTTCTTCTTGAGTACCTTTATCCTTGGGTCAGCAAAAAGCAGACATGCCATTAAAAATATTTACAAATAGCTAAATAACGATTATTCTATCTTGAGATCCAGTTGTTTCTAATTTTTGCTAAAAATGTACAGTATTATATATCATCCAAGGAACAACAAATGGCTGTAGATCTGGGCTCCCAGCCCAAATTTCAAATCCTCAGGAGAAAATTTCTATCTTACCATTCCCAGAACTTCATGGGCAGGATTAAACAAACAACAACCAAAAAAAAAAAAAAAAATAGAATTACTACTTTGATTTGTAAGACAGAAGTATCAGGTTCACATTCTCAAGTATATAAAATCCAGATTACAGAGACATTTAAAATAAAATATAAAGTCTTCATTAGTGAGTACATACCACATTAAGAAAGACAAACAGATACATGTACTTTTGAATACACATGGCTAGCAATTTAACTACAACTGTAGCTATTAAATAATTTAAAAGCTTCTTATTTTTGTTTTATTTTAATTCTTGAATTTCTACATCTTCTTAGGCATTAATGAGTCTACTTAATTTCAGAGGGCAATTCTGGTTAAGAATAAAATGAATGAAAAAATAAATCACATTTTTAACCACATTCTTTTCTTCTTTATTTTTTACTATAATTAATTCTCCATCCTTTCCTGGTCTTTCCTGGAACTCAGGCAAGTATGATTCCTCTTGCTCCCATGGGGATGAGAAATCCCACAACAAAGAAGCTAGTATTCCATTAAAATAAGCCAGAAGAATCTCTCTAATCCTTAACCCTCTTAAGCCCTTTGTCTTGTCTATTGATGAGAATCTTTTTGAAGCTGTTTTTTTTTATATATAATTTAAGAATCATAGCATTCTTAAACAATCATTATTCAAAGTCTGAAGAGTAATAAAGAAATCTGCTTCAAGAAGCTCCCACTACAGAAGGCTTATTAAATGGCAGAAACCATAAGACTCCAGAGGCTCAAGAAATTGAAAAGCAGGAGCCACAAACACACTTGCTGGGTAAAGTAGCCAGAGTTCAGCAAACATGCTCCATCACCAAACTGGTCGTTCCCCAGGAAAAACCCATCCTGCAAATAGAATTCAGCAGCACATCAGCAAGGGAGGCTTCTTTCTTGCCTTTGAGGCTATCAGAGCCCAGTCTGCCTTGGAGGATACCATGCTCTTCCTCCAATTCTCCTCTTCATGTCCCAGTTATCCTTATCCTTTATTCTTTTATGTCCCTCAACATTTATTATTAAATATGACCATGTAATTATCTAAAATATGGAAACAAAATCCTGCTCTCTTGAAAATTCTGGGCAACTGGTACCTTCATTCTGCAATTTTCTATCCATCCAAAATATCACTCTTAAAATCATCTTTGCAACTTAGAGCCCTGTTCTTCAAATAATACTAATTGCAGCAAGCACTTCACTATGTGCCAGGCCATGGGTGAAATGCATTATCAGTACTCACGCATTCTATCTTCACAACAGCCACATATGAAAGAATCTAATATTACCCTCACTGTGCAGAGGCACAGAGCAGTTAATTAACTGACACATCTCATATTTAAGAAAATAACAGGATTCAAAGCCATGTGGTCTAGTTCCAGCATCTATTTTCTGAACATAATACCCCCCAAAGTATTCCATCCTCTTATACTTGACATCCAGTTAATAAATGCACATAGCTTAATGTTTTCAAAGAAGTGTTTCCCAATCTATAGCATCTCCTTCATATTTTCATAGATATATAATGATTTGCAGAATTTCCTTGGATTCCTTCCTTGTCCACTCATTTCCAATTCTCAACTCTGTTTCTGAGACTATATTACTTTCCATGTGACCTACTGACATTCTGCCTCACAAGTCAGATTCCCTAATTTAGTAATAAATAGAGATAATAACCCTGAAGGGATTCCCAGGTAGCACACTTGGATGGCGGATCAGGTAGTTGTCCATTCTTCCCACATAAGCATCCCTGTATCCTGTCACAGAGCCATCAATGTCGTGGAATATGGAGTTCTTATCACCATCGAGCTCACAGTCTTCAAACCACGGGCCAGGCTTTCCAAAGAATACATTAAGAGAGACCTGAGAGTGGTGAAAAACAAGAACATCCTACCGTGAGGGCTCCGGCCATGTTACCCGGCGTCCCCGACAAGAACCCAACTTCATACTAATTACAACTCATTACAATCCCTTTAAGACTATGCAGTTCTGAGCCACAGCACAGTTGTCAACCAACATTTTTGATTAATTATGACATGAATGGGGAAAAAAAACTTCCTGAAGCCTTAGTTCAGGCAGTAAGCATTCAACTTCATCTTTGATGTTTTCCCTTTTTTCAACTTAAAAACGATTACCTGTTCCCCAGATTAAACGGATTTATGGTAACAGAAACCAGAATAGTTGTGGAAAGAGGAACTATGTAGTCATATGTATTTGTTAAAACTTAAAAACTTTTCACTCAAGATCTCTGCATCTCCCTGTATGCAAATTATACCTCAATTAAATTAAAATATATTACAAGTTTGATCTTCTGAGCTAATCATTTCGTTTTATTTCAAATGTTTTAGTTAACTTGTGAATGACTCCTGCCACCAAAAAATAAGTACAGTTCCAAACTGAAACAATATAAACATTGTCTTGGTATGGTTGCCTGACCACTGGACTCATTAGAACCTGTTGAAACGTGTCTGTTTTTTTTTTTTTCTCTACTCAACAAAGACTAAGTCCAGCTTAGTAATTTTTATGTCAGGTAACATCAATTCAATGTCTTTATCAAACACATAGTACATAGCTAGCTACAAAGCAGGCTACAGGTTACATGATTTATAATCTGGGTGCATGCTAAGTTGCTTCAGTTGTGTCTGACTCTTTGCAACCCTATGGACTATAGCCCTCCAGGCTAATGTTATTCAAACCATGCAGACACACCTTAAAATGCTTTTATGTACTCATTGCCCTGGCAAGTGTTAAAAGCAACTGAACATCTAAGTGATAAGCAACTCAATGGAAAGTCAGTGATGTGTGGGACAAATTCTTCTAAGTCCTTAGTTCTAGACTCTTTTCTCTCTTCATTTATACCTCCCACGGTTAAATCTTAAAGTCTTGGACATATTGTCCATCTTTTTAGGAAGAACAAATTTGCGGAACATACCCTTCACAAATGGTTCCAGAGCATCAGCACATTAGAAAATTCCAGGCTGATGAAACACCGGCCTTAAACAGCACGGATTCTCTTAGGCTGCGAGAACTCTAACTCTGCAACAAAGTTAACATCTAAAAACTGTCTTTCCAATATAACCATGTCAGTGATCACTAAACTCTATGGCTGGAGAGAACATACAGGCTGGAAGTGAGCTGCCAACCTCCACAATGGAGAGGCAAGCCAAGACCCACCCTGTTTACATGCAACCCTGGCCACAGTGTAGCTTTCTCTTCCCCTGGAGTTATGCAGTCTAGAAGAGAACCAGTCAATCAATTTGCACCTGTGCCTCTGTTTTGTGCCTAGGCTATTCACAAAAACCAGTTACAGACTTTGGTAAACTAACCTAAGTACTCTTTTAAACTGAGGAACCACAGAGTTTGCCTATGGACATTAATGACAAAACTATGAGTCACTTTACAATTGTGGTGCCTGGAGCAGAAAGCAAGATGGTCTGAGACTCAATCTCTACACCACTGTCATCTTAGAAGTGGCAAGATGAAGAGGCTGGGGGTATATAATCAGATTGGCCCATGTATTGATGGTAAGGAGGGTACTGGTGAAACTACTGAGAAAATGATTTCTGTGGCCTACTGTATTGTAAACAATTATTTCTAAGTCTTTTTTGCAATCTTCATAGAAATATTCCAATAGTTTATATCAGAAATAACCCAATTTGTTTCCTATCACCCCAGTATTTCTCTTCTTTCCCAATCTTTTGTTCTCCAGCTCCCCAGAAGAACAGACCTCAGAAAAGTAAATACCAGGTAAAACCCAAATCTCTTTATGGATTATTATAGTGAATTCCTCAAAATCATACGTCCTCTTATTCCTATGAAATTCTACAATTCCCAACACTGTATCATCACATTAAGTCATTTTCCCTTTGAGGATATCACCAGAATATCAAAAATACTCTAGGTCACATGGGACTTCGGTTCTCACCCTAAACTCAGCAGGACAGAGTACCTGAAATCAGGAGTTACTCTTGCATAGAATTCACCTCCCAATCCTAAAACTCAGTGCAAATCCTATCTTTGTGTTTCTTTCTCTGGAAACATGCCACCCCTCCGCTTGGTACCATAGTCACTGTATAGGAACCATAAGAACGTACTTACATGTGGACCAAACCTCACGAGGGAGATGTTATTTCTGGGGGTTATCTGCCAGGAATTCTTCATGAGGAAGCCAATAGCACTGGTATATCTATCTAAAGTTGGCACATATTTTTTGAAAGTGCACCTGGTGAGATGTATGGGCCCATCATAGATCTGAAAGCCTCTAATTGGAAATGTCCTGTTGAAATACAAAATTTTGTTTAATGCGTATGGGCCCATCTGTTTAACAGCATTTCACTTACATATCTGTTTGATAAATACTGTTAAATATCCCATATATAATAAGTACAATTCTAGGATATAGTGCTAATGAAGCAAGATCTCCAATCTAATGAAACCTATAGTGCAGTGAGAAAGGCAAACAAAAACACAATGGGTAATTTCAGATAAGAGCATGAGAAAAGGAAAGATATAGTAATAGACTTGAGTAGGACAGACATGCTATTTTGGATACAGCAAAGGCCTCTCCAAGAAGTGACTCTGCTTCCTTGAATCAACTCCGTTGAGATCTTTTCTTTGATAACTCATACCATTTAGCTTTAGTTCTGAAATCTCTAGCACAAGAAGATAAATCTGTGCTTAATGAGAGAGACCTCCTTTCAAGTCCCTAAATGACAATAATAAGGAGAAATGATATACCTAAAAGTACAAAAGTACAAGTCTGCAAGGCTTACTATAGCTGGATTGAGAAATTCATTTTATTCATTTTACTCCTTTCTGTCCAAACATAAGCTCCTTAACTTAATAATCATATGTTATTAACCATAATTAATGTACAAAACCCATAATATTCTGGATCTCTTAGGTTTTTCCCCTATTAAGTTTTTTAATGGCATTGCAGAGGACTTCTATAGCAACTAATTAGTTTACAACTTGGTAGTGTTTCACAATAAAAAATCATATATACTAGCAAGAAAGTCAAATAATCTGGTTAAAAATCTATGCCTATCTTTGTGTATCCAAGAATATATTACAAAATGGTCCTCTGCCACAGAAAAGGCTGCAAAGATACAGTAAAATAAAAATTAGGCCCATTGACCAACCAGCAATCTTTGTTTCAAAAATTCCTCCCTAGCACAGAAGCAACAGTATTTTGAAATAAAACTGGAGGCCAATGTAAAATAAAAATAATGAAATTGAATTGCCCACCCTTTTACTGCAGCCCTTACCCAACTAATACAGCTTTTTTTTTCCTTTAATTTACATATTAGAAGAGGCAGCTTTGCCTTAATTGCGAAGAGCAGAGCACTGAAGCCAAACTGACAGGTTTTGAGTTCCACATTAGCTACTTTTAGTAAGTTGCTCATTTATAAAGCAGGACGATGACAACACCTACCTCACCAGGCTTACAAGGATTAAGTGAATAATAAAATATTCAGAACAGGGCCTGATACATAACAAACATTTAGTAAATGTTAACTATTAAAAATCCATGAAGTTCCTCTCCTAGTGGCTTCCACGGTCTGACTAAAAGAAGTTCTACACATAGTGTAGCATGTAGTAAAGACATTTAGTATTTCCCAAGAATAAGCACCGGGGAGACAGGCCAAGGATAGGCTGCCCTTTGCTAGAAGTTACTTAAGCCCTTTGGCAATATTCACCACCTGTCCCCCAAAGTCACCTGTCTGATCGCCTTACCCCGCTGACCTGTCCTAGCCCAATATCCAGACACAGTGGATAGCTTTAAGGGGACTGATGCTTAATGAAATCTGACACTAGCTCTGATGTAAGGACTTTAGAACACTCATTTTTCTCTACCTGGTTTTCTTACAAGTAAAATGACAACAACTCTAAACTGTGTCTCAGAGCTGAGGTACAGATTAATTAGGTAATAGTTTCCCAAAAGTTCTAAAGAATCCTTATAGTGCTAAGTACTATTTTAATGACTGTGATTATTTTGACAGAAAACATGCCAAAAGTCTACCCCATACCCTTTCAACATCTGAAACATTATTATAAAACTAGTTAGGTTCTGAGTTAGCTTTGGCATCTATCAACTCATTTTCTAGGCCTCTTTTCAGTAAGTAATTTCTTTTTTCCAGTGGCTATTCCTTAAAACCAACATCACCATATTAAGGAAAAACTGATTTGATGTCCATAGTTTATGGTTTGGTGACTTTCTGTGGCTCAAGAAAGGGGAAAAAAAAAAAAAAAAAACTACCAGCTTACATAAGACCTTATCCAAGAAGGATAAACAGGATAGTTTCCTTCGTTATAAAACTGATGTGGTGGTGCTACGTCACGTCCGACTCTTGTGACCCCGTGGACTGTAGCCAGTCAGGCTTCTCTGTCCATGGAATTTCCCAGGAAGGAATACTGGAGTGGGTAGCTATTCCCTTCTTCAGGGGATCTTCCTGATCCAGGGATCAAACCCAGGGCTCTCACATTGCAGGTAGCTTCTTTACCACTGAGGGAAGCCCCATAAAACTGATAACAACACCTATATATGTTTAATAGTTAATGCTCCAGAATCCCAGAGGATAATACATACAATAGAAATAGCAATAATAACATGAATCATTTTAATAATAGTAAATATGGTGGGGAAATTGTCACAGTGGGAATCCATTCAGGATCATTATGGAAACTTCTGTAAGGGTTAGAGCTTCATTTACTGTTTAAAGGTAACATTCCTCTGATAAAACAATGCTCACCTGTTCCTAGGTAATGTCCGAGGCTTCAGGTCTATCCCTCCAGTGCCTACATACTTGTTCTGACCACCCTGAAAGCCGTAATTCCTGCTCTCCCCAACAAAGAGAGATTCAGATACCTCTTGGCTGGAACCTTCATCACTTGGGAAGCTTCCATCACTGTTAAAAATAAGAATAATCATTAATCACACAGAAAGGCAAGCTATAACTTCAAAAACCTAAAAGTTTTCAACATAGCCAGCAGCTTCTTAAATACATATTAGTGAGTCATCAAAAGGTGCCTCTAAATTGTGAGTATACCTCTTATAAATTAATATGTGGTTTGCAAATTAGACAAACAAATGAGATTTAATTTAGCAGCAACAACTAATTATTTTAGTCTCAAGCAACAATATTGCAAATGAGGAGACTAAACTTGCTCTGAACACAACAATGAGATGACATACATGTTTAAGATGGGCAAGAGAGTAACTGTTATCTGGGGAAAAATATGTAAAACATAAAAAGTTCAGTTCTTAAGGACCACTGTCAAAGGAGACCAACTTTTAAGAAAGAAAATATTTAATTTGCTTCCAACTTTTACTCCCTTCCTCTTTATTCCCCTACTTTTTAAGATCTTTAATGGAAAGTTCAAGGGATTTCTTCTAAGCAAAAAATACGATGGGCCTACCCTTCTGTGCAATTCCAGCCAGAGCAACCTCCTACTTTGGTGTGAATTCAATTAATCAATAAAAATGTATTTTTGGCCCTCTAGTGGCATCAAGAAGTGAGTGCTATTTTTTTAATGTTAATAAATGATACAGCATTCCTGTGCTATCAAAAAAAAAAAAAAATCAAGGTTATTTTACCTTACAACTTTAAAATAAACAGATAAATATTTTTTAAGTAATTACAAACCTGGCAAAGGTCAGTCCTATTCCATTGTCTGCAAATCTAAAGAGAATGAAGGAACATTTTAATTTATCACATCATGTAAGAAGAGGTAATTCCCTCAGTATTTAATTGTCATAACATTCAAGAAGTTCCAATAGTATTTACTCTCCAAGACCACACAAAAATTTCACTTTCCAATAACTAAAAGCATAGTCTCCACAATAAAAGAACCTGGTTTGAATCTCAGGTTTGCCAATTACTAGCTGTGTGACCTTGGGCAAATCACTGTGTGTGCCCAAGTTTTCTCACCTAAGTTAGTTTTCTCACCTAAAGGTTGAAATGACACTATAAGCTTCCTCCTAGGGTATCTGAAAGCATTAAAATGCTAATTCATTTCAACTATTTAGAACGGCATCTGGCACAGAGTAAAGAGCACATGAAAAGTGAAAGTGTTAGTCACTCAGTCGTGTCCGACTCTTTGCAACCTCATGGACTGTAGCCCACCAGGCTCCTCTGTCCATGGAATTTTCCAGGCAAGAATACTGAAGTGGGTAGCCATCCCTTTTCTCAGGGGATCTCCCCAATCCAGGGACCAAACCCGGGTCTCCTGCATTGCAGGCAGATTCTTTACCATCTGAGCCGCCAGGGAAACCCAAAGAGAAGATGTGTTAAAAACCTGCATTTACAATTTTTATCATTAGTTTGGCTCCCATATCTGTGTGTTCTGCATCCACAGATTCAATCAACTGTGGATAAGAAATATTTTTTTAAATTCCAGAAAACTCCAAAAAGCAAAACTTTGTCCAGTGCTGGCAACTATTTACATAGCATTTACACTGTATTTACAACTATTTAGGTAGCATTTACAGTCTTGAGTATGAGTACTCTAGAGATGATTTATGGTATATAGAAGGATGATATAGGTTATATGCAAATACTGAATACTATAACATAAAATATATAAGGATCTTGAGCGTCAAGATTTTAGTACCCATTGGGGTCCTGAAACTGATCCCCCATGAATACCAAGCAGTGACTAATTTTTATCAATTAGATCATAGCATTCTCTTCAAAACTTTTCAATATTAATTCCAAATTATTTCTACAGACTTTATACAGTGTCAGTTTGTTTCATGATAAAAACCAAGCAACTAACGTCAGTATCAGCCAGAAAAAAACATTTTTCTAAACTCCTGAACACCAAATCTTAGCTCGACATACCTCAAGCTTCTCCTAAAAGTATACAAATGGAAAAGAAGTGAGAGGCTTACTGCCTCAAGTCATGTTAAAACATAAGTCAACAGACTTATTAAGGTGGAATTCAACTTTTGTTTTGGATGGCAGTGGAAGAGCATCATGAAACAGTTTCCAAGAGGAAGGGAAAAAAATGCAGGTAGTTTCAAAATCTTTATTTAGTTCTCTGACATAGACCATGTTTGTTATATAAAGTCCCAGTTTCTGTTTAATCTCATCAAAAAGCTCTCATGTCACCAGACAAGTTCAGTTCCAATAACAGCAGCAGAATGAGACGATTCCAAACATTTGCAGTCGGTTAACATACTTCCTCAGAGCTTGTCCTGTCTATTAGTAATGATACTATGATTCCAGAAACCACCACTGTGCTTTTTGGTCTACTGAGTTTTTAAAAATAGCCTTAAAAAATAAATAGCCATCAGATAATAACTTCAGAGAGAATACCCACGCTGAATTCTGAACCACAATATCTCCGCCTCTAACCCAAGCTCCGTTGTCATTGTTTTTAAAAGCAATGAGCCTGTCAATCAAAGCAGCAACACGTGGCTTCTCAGGGTCTGCATCCTCGTGAGGCCGAAACCTTGGGGTTGGGAGAAAAAAAAAGAGACTTTTAAAGAGTAATGAATGGGAAACAGCTATTTAAAATTATAAGAAAAAAAAATAAAATTGTAAGCTTAAGTGTCAAAAAGCAAGATTCAAGTTTGATCAAAACAAGACAAAAACACCAAGATACAACTTAATATCTGCATTTAAAATACTGAAAAAAAAAAATCACAAATTTGCAGAGAACTGATTTCATATTTCAGTTTGTTTTTCATTAATTTATCTTATAGAATGGACATTACAGAACATTCCAAGCACTAAAAGCATTTCAAAAATAAACAAAAACTTCAAACTAAGAAATACAGCATGTTTTCACAAATTCTTAAGTTACATGATATTAAAATAAACTTACTGAGTAAATTAATCATATATTTCAACATACATATCTGTGAACCAGAGTATTATTTGAGTTGTATGCTGGTGAAATGTTTCAGATATAGAGCGAAATCTGGGTTCAATATCTGTAAAATGCCTAAATTTAAAAGAGATTATATTTATAGAATATTACTCAGCCATAAAAAATGAAATTTTGCCATCTGTGATGTGGATGAACCTAGAAGGTATTGTTTAGTGAAATAAGTCAGACAAAGAAAGACAAATAAATGCTCCACATTATCACTTATATGTGTAATCTAAAAAATGAAACAAATGTATGTAACAAAAAAGAAACAGATTCACAGATACAGAGAACAAAGGAGTAGTTATGAGTAGTTACCAGTGTGGAGAGAAGGGAAGAGGGAGCAGATAGTGGTATTAAGAGATATAAACTACTATGTATAAAATAAACAGGGCTTCCCATGTGGTGCTAGTGGTAAAGAACCCGCATGCCAAGGCAGGTGACATAAGCAACATAGGTTCAATCCCTGGGTGGGGAAGATCCTCTGGAGGAGGAAATGGCAACCCAAGCAACAAGGATATATATACCATACAGCACAGGGAAATGAAGCCATTATTTCGTAGTAACTTTAAGTGAAGTATAATCTATAAAAATACCGAATAGTTGTACATTTGACACTAATATACTGTAAATCTATTATAATAAAAATATAAAAAATATCAGCACTTTTAAAGGTAGACTGTATTTCATCAACTTATTAGTTATAAAGACTGAATTTTATTTTTTCTTTCTCTTCCTAAAACATTTACAAGGATCTTAATGAAAAGACCAAGAAAAAAAAAAAAAAACTGGTGTCAAAAACTGTTAAGTGTAACAACTCAAATAATTTCAGAAGGCCTCCTAACTTAAAATAAGATCACTTCCATCATAATCTTACAAAGCTGGGAGGTGGACAGAGAAAAACTAGACAGCTTTACAAAAACCCACTCAGCAAGTTGAGATGCTTCAATCATATAATCATGAAGTATCATTTGCACAAATGCTACTGTGAAAGTCGCTGGGACATAGTAGTGCTCACCAAAGACAGATGTTACGATGGGAGAAGCAGCTATACCCAGAAAGCAGCAAGTGCAAAGGCATGAGCGAGCTTGGCATGTCCAAGAACAACAAGCAGGTTGGCTGCTAAGTTCAAAGCAAGACGAAGAGGACAGAGAGGAAGGCATGTTTCAGGCAAGGATGTGGTTCTTTATTCTAAACGCAATGGGAAAAGTAGAATGGCAGTGCCAGGGGCTGGAGGGAGGAGGAAATGCGGAGGTGATGATCAAAAGGCATAAAGGCTTTAGTTTTATATGATAAATAAATTCTGGAGAGCTAGTCTATACACCTTTTGACAAAAAACTAATGTTTTACTTCATAAAATGATGTCCATAAAGGAGACAGAAGGAAACTTTGCCCTTGACGGTTCATGGATGTTTGTTTATTTCCAAACTTACTGAGTTCTTGACATTACATATGCACAGCTTTTTACATGTCAATTATACCTGAATAAAGTAGGTGGATCAATAAGTGTGATGGAAAGTTGTCAGAAACATGGAATCAGAACATGATATAATCGAATTTCACTTTTTAACTGGTCACTAGCTGCTCCTTGGTGACAGAATCATGGAGAACAGATAATAAGGACACCACTCTAGAAAGCACTCCACCCACCCTTTAGATTGTGGATGTGACCCCTTACACTAAATAGCTCTGACCTATGGTGTAAAAAGACTGAGCCGTCACCCACTCTTCTGGCATTGTAGCTGCTGCCAAACAGCTTTACAGTCATCACATAATATCAAGCAGATGGAACAGTTCTGGAAACAAACTACACAATGTGCTAAAAGAAAGCCAAAAAAAAATACAATAAAGCAACATCTAATTTTCTGCTGTAGCCATCTCACTTTTTCTGAAATTCCTATCCATATAAATTGTTGACCACTTGCTTAAATACCCTTTATTTTTCATCCTCCTTCCCACTATGTAGAAAATGCAGCTAATTTTCCATCCCCTTCAATTTATGAGCCTTCAGCACACTTCCAGACTCTCACGTGTCTTCTGCTTTAAATGTACTAGTTGGTTTTCATGTTCTTTTACTCTCTTAGATGAAACTTCCCTGTCTTAACCTGAGAGCTTTCTGGAGTTAAAATATTCTATCTTTGGATTCCTGTAATTTCACATCTTGAAGATACAAGCAAAGACTCATCTGATTAACTATTAAGTCAACTTCCCCTTTGATGAACACATTAAATACCTTCTGAATCCCATGAACTGGATGTTTAATTCATGAGCTGACTTATTATTCATTTGTGTTTGAGTGTCATCATTTTTAGTCATGTCTGGCCTGCATGAATGCATGTGGGCATATTTTATTCATCAGTTTATACAAAATTAAATGTATATACTAGCTGCCAAATGTCTTGTTACTCTTCTACAATCAGTTCTTTTCAATGACAACTTCCAAATGGAATCTAACTCCTTACCAACATGTAAGCTTTATAAACTAGTGAGAAAAGTATAGAGAGCCCAGAAAAGATTATGACTATCAAGATATCAGACATGCATACACAGGGTAGAGAGCTTCTTAGGCCATTATGAATAGATTTGTTTTATTGTCAAGTATAATGAAAACATCAATAGATTCTGAAATATATTTTCTTCATTCATCCATTCATATACACACATATAATTTTTAAGGCAGATAAGAGAGTCGATTGTGTTTTATGTAAAGATTTTTTTGGCTAATACTATTAATACCTTAGCAAAGCACACATTACTAGTTCTACTAGTTATAACAAACTCTTAAAAAACAGAAGTGATCTTCTAGCAAGATTCCTCTGTTTTGTCAGTTAATAGTCTCTTTTTGGTTCATAATTTATTGCCATCTATATGCTCCTTTTTCATCCCAAGTTTATCTCCTCTTTTTCTACATCATATCTTGCTCAGCTATTAAGTGTCTAGCACCCTGAGTTTTATTTAAACAATACTGACAATTTCTCCACTTCTCAAACATTATCTGAGCATTGCTTTAATATTTTTCAGGCTTAACTTGATCTTTCATGATGAGTAGTTTTACTAACTTATTTCCCCACTTTTACTGTGTCACAAGGATTCTGCTTCACTGACCTAAAGTGTGGCTCCTACTTTATTCCCTTGTGAACAACACCTGGCATCCTTTTCTTTAAGTGCCACCCATGGTGGCTCAAATGGTAAAGAATTTGCCTGCATTGCAAGAGACCTGGGTTCAACCCTGGGTTGGGAAGATCCTCTGGAGAAGGGAATGGCAATCCACTTCAGTATTCTTGCTTGGAGAATTCCATGGACAGGGGAGCCTGCTGGGCTCCCCTGTCCATGGGGTTACAAAAAGTCGAACATGACTGAGTGACATTCATGTTTTCTCTTGACCTTTTATACTGTGTCACGATGATTCTGCTTCACCAACCTACAGTGTGGCTCCTACTTTCTTTCTTTGTGAACAATAGCACCTGGCATCCTTTTCTTAAATGACTGCAAACAGAGTCTATTAAACCTAGCACCTTTTCAAATGCTTTAGTTGGTCAATCCATCTGAAGTATAGAAAAATAACACACACACAGCTTCTACTAAATATGACCTTAAGTTGCCATCTTTTCCAGAAAATTTTGTTTCCATTGGAGACATTTTATTTATTTTGACTCATATCATGCTCATGCTCAATCATTCAGTTATGTCTGACTATTGCAACCCCATAGACTGTAGCCCACCAGGCTCATCTGTCCATGGGATTTCCCAGGAAAAAATACTGCAGTAGGTTGCCATTTCCTCTTCCAGGGGATCTTTTTGACTCAGGAATCAAACCCCCATCTCCTACGTCTCCTGCATTGGCAGGCAGATTCTTTACCACTGAGCCACCTGGAAAATATGAGTAGTATATGAGGCAACATAAATTAAATGTCTCCAATAGAAACAAAATTTCCCAGAAGAAATGGCAACTTAAGGTCATACACAGTTTCTACTGAATATGACCTTAAGTTGCCACCTTCCGGAAAATTTTGTTTCCACTGGACACATTTTATTTATTTTGGCTCATTTACAGGATGTTTTTTAAATAAAAAAAAAACTTTGTTGAAATGCTGATCCATATTCCAATCACATTTTGTGGTTATAAAGGAGAGTAACAAAGAGCCCAGCTATGATGTGAATCTGAGACTACAAACCACTGAACCAGAACTAGCTTGATCAAGTTTGAGACTTTTCCCTTTGAAATAGATTTAATGCAACATTCCATTTTGACCACTAACAATAAATTACATATTCCTTGGTTTTCGGGGATTATATTAAAACATCTTAGCTTGTTTTTCGATGAATCATATTCTACTGTAGGCCAAATTTGGACCCTTTTTCAACATATCTCCCTTCTTTTTATTTCTCTTTCTACAACTCTTTCTAACATCAATTTGCAACTGTCAAAAGGAGAAGCTGCATCAATTTCTTTGGCATCTCACTAAGATAAAAATCCCAGCCACAGTACCTAGAACAGCAAAATAAATGTTTTTTCAAAACCCTCCTACAAACCTTGAAAACTTCAGTTTAACTATGTTACTGGAGGAGAGGGCAATGGCTCAACTCAGAAAGTTTTACTTTGGCAAGATATGGCTCAAGTGTGACTTAAAAGGACCAGTTCTACCTTGCACTGTTATCCAAACAGAGGTACTCCCTTGGGTCAGCAGCACTAGCATTGGTTGTTTTGACACCTTTGTCAATAAATAAGCCAGCCTGGAAAACATAATAATGGACTGAAATGAATATAAATCCCAAGTTATAATGACATATAGGATACATGAAAATAAGTTTTAGCTTATCACATCTACCAAAAATGGAGAGAGAAGAAGTAAACAGCCAAACAAAGGTATTACAAAAATGGCTACTTTATTGTTTTTTTTTTTTTTTTAATAATTCTACTCATTTGGTCAAACCTTTGTTTAGTGCCCATCTTGGGGGTCACCAAGAATTATATGTCACCCAGAAAACCATGGTCTTTGCTGTTACTCCATAAATGAGGAGGAAGATATGCAATTAAATAAACAATTACAAAACAATATAGTAAGCATATAATGAAGGAAATAGATGATGCTTTGGCAGCACATAAGAAAGGCACCAAGATGAGACATTCTATGAAGGCAGGAGAGAGAATTCAGGGAATGTCTCCTAAAAGAAGTGACATCTGAAAGCTGACACTTGAAGAAACCAGCCACACAGAAGACCAGGTCAGAGATTGAAGGGCAGGGAGGAGGTGGGAAACATCTAAAGAGCCCAGAGGAAATCACTCCAGGGAGTCATTTGTACAAAACTTCTGGGGATGAGAGAAAGCGTGACATATCTGAGGGGGAAAAATCTTAGATGGACTATCAGGAAATATATGGAGGAAGGCAAGGTAAGAAAGAAGACTAAAGAGAAGCAAGTGCCAGATGATGCAGAGTCAGTATGCTTAAGAATCAAGACAATGGGATTTTAATAAAGGTTATGTAATCAATTGCATTTTAAGAAAGAATACTATAGTTTCAAATTTAACAAATTTAAATTTAAAATCTAATAATCCACCCTTTATTCAGATCTAATATCTTTTATTTTAAATTGACATAGTAGAATACTAAATTTCCTCATGGTATATGATATTAAAAAATTAATTAGAATGAGGTGTTTTTTGTAATACCACTAATAATTTAAAATTTTTGAGGACTTCTACTTTGAAGTGCTGTTTTCAATTATTACCACTCTTAATCAATTATTCATTTCATAAATATCACAATTCTGTGTAAAGTTTTTTCCTCTCAAGTCTTCATCAAGTGATTCTAACTTCTTCAAATTATATCACACTTAGGTTTTTAAAGGATCCTCTGAGTTTCATAAAGGGAAATTATTAATTGAACTTTGATGTGGATCACATCAGAGGAAAGAATCTGGGCACTGTATCACATGATAAAAATATCAAGATGCCTCAAGAGTACAAAAGGAACCAGATGTGTTTTATCACCAAGGAGGTTAAGTGTCAATTATCATGAAAATTAGAGTTCCTAAATGGCCTTTCATCTNCAAAAGGAACCAGATGTGTTTTATCACCAAGGAGGTTAAGTGTCAATTATCATGAAAATTAGAGTTTCTAAATGGCCTTTCATCTATTTGACCTACATATCATTTTAAATTAGGTCAAATACTCTTAAACAATATTTCACTGTTTACATAACTATATTAAATGTCCAATAGGACATTCCATCAACACTGAAAGAAGAGAGAAAATATGCTTTTTAAGTCCCAAAAGCATATAATACACTAATGTGTACATCCTTAGAAACATGCAATGATATTAAAGATTGGAAGGAAAGTGAGCAGAAGGAAAGAGGATGAGGACTCATGGCTCAAGTCCACTATTGTAATTATTCAGATTGCATGTACACGTGTGTGCCACAGCATATATTTCTGTGTGTATATAAACAGAAAGCTGTCTATACATCCTGAATGTGGCAGGATTAGGAGTCAGCTTTTTTAATCACAAATTACATTCTCTGATGACAAGTTCCAACTAGTATTAACATCTCTCAGTTGTAATCACAGTAGTCCATCCTTTACCCTGTAAATTATACATACTGATTGTTAAAACTTAAGAACCTACCTTAAAACTTGAATGGACCCTGTTGTTATAAAATATTCCCAGTGGAGTGAGTTCTGGTTTTGCTAAGAGCTGCAATCCACTGGATTCCCCCGTAGGTTCCTTGTGGAATAAATACCATATTCCAGCATCCTATAATTAAAAGGGCAAGGTCATTAAAGGCATCCTTTTATAAAACCACTCTGTGAAACACCCTCACAAAAACTAAGCATGTCACAAACAAGTTTATTCTTTTTAACACTAATTATTCATTGTTTCAGGTTCAGAGTTGACTCTAAAAAGTTGTGCACTCATGTAGCACTCTCAAAGCAGTGTATCAGGTTTGATTTTTTAAAAAGCAAATTTAATTTTGCTTTTAAGATGGGACAAAAGATAGAACTGGCTGATACCAAAATTTTATTCAAAATAACTTTCCTATCATTAGCTTTAAAAAGTCATGCAGAACTAGTACCAAACAAGCCTCCCTTCCTTTCACATGACCAGGACAGGATAGCCTTTTAGCAATATGAGGTTTTTTTTTCTATTTACCTCCAAACCTGATCAATAGATGAGTCATACCTATTAAACAACTATCCATCAACATACAGAGATCACTGACTTCTTTCAAACAACTCCAATGCCCTTCCTATCCTGAGGCAAATTTTTGCCAAAGAGAAAAAACCACCACATGCATGAATCAGGATGCTGTCTCAGTCTGGGTCCTGTCTGTTCAGTCTCAGTGTTACTTACCTTAACTGGGACAGCAGAAGAGTTTGAAACTTTCTGACACTCAAAATGGGATATAAAAATAGAAATGAAATGTTCTTAACCTCTGTGACAACTTTTTATTTTACAATTTAATTAAAAATCAGCCCAATGTGAAGGACAACTTCACATCAAGGAACACTGATTAAGCAGCTTGCTAAAACTCAAACATATAGTCCAAAAGTACAGTATCGATTCAAATTTAGCAGACATCCATTTAGAGCCAGGTATACAATAGCCTGTTCTCAAAGAATTCATAGTCTAACGAGAAACAGAGAAACAACTAAAGTATAGCTAATAAGTACTATACTAGTTTTAACAAAGTCCTTTAGGAACAAAGAGAGACGAATTGTGGAAAACCTATCAGCAAAATGAAGGCAGTATTTGGCATTTTCCCATGATAAAACTTTACAGATAGGTCTCAGTAAAAACAAACTCCTCTGAAGAATGTGTCTGCCACCTCTATGCTTTGGGGCACAAAACGGACTCAGAGGGCTATGAAGAAGGCTCCACATCACAGCCTGATAAACTAAGGACAGCGAACCCTCCCAAGACACAGCGGAGTTTGGGGCTGGGGGCTGGAAAAAGGGGGATAAGGAGGTAGCAGCTGTTTCCTGTTAAAACACTGTGGAAGAGGGCTATGAAGAAGGCTCCACACCACAGCCTGATAAACTAAGGGCAGCGAACCCTCCCAAGACACAGCGGAGTTTGGGGCTGGGGGCTGGAAAAAGGGGGATAAGGAGGTAGCAGCTGTTTCCTGTTAAAACACTGTGGCGTCAAGACAGGTAAAGCGAGCTTTGTAAAAGGCAGTGGAAAGGTACAAGAAGAAATGGTTTGATTTACTTTGGGAGGAAAACCCTTGCCAAAACATGAGCTTTACTGGAGCAGTTTTTCTAGAGAGAAAAAAAGAACTCACAGAATGAAAAGGGAGAAGAACATGTAAGAGATGGAAAAAGATAGACACCTGCTATCTTCTTTTCTCAAATGAGCCCTCATAAGGATGTCTGGCAACCTCAACTTACATTTTTCAGGGACTCTGCAATTTGCTTTGATCTGCAACCCAAGACTTCTGAAAATAGCCGAGTCTCTGCTCTGTGCTCATTTGTCATGTAATGTAGATCAGATGATCCTGGGGTAAGACTGCACATCAAACCCTTGGCCACCTCTACCCAAAATCTCATCTTCCAACTAAAAACTCTCACTACAAATCCTATATGGGCTCAACAAATATTTGATGAAAAATGAATGAATAGAAGACTGAAATGATTGAATGTCCAGGGCTCTGCCCTGTCAAGTAAGAATCTTATGCTTTATGTTTTTAAGAAAAACCACAGATGTAAATTCTACCATCACCCAGTGATACCTATTTTCTGGCTATCTTGAAGAAATACTCCCTTCAGGTAATTTTTTACTTTATTCTGGAAAACAATGATAGGTATTCCTTTCCATTTAAAATGTTAATAGCCATGATGTATGTATATGAATACTCAGGTTTTGCTGCAAAGCTCATATTTCTGTGCTCTAGTTTTCAGCACAGATATAATCACAATAGTATTATGTTTTAAAGATTCATTTGTACATTATAAATTAGCCGCTGTATTATAAAAGCACTCAATTACAAATGTAAATTTCTCCGAGCTTATCCAGGAGACATTTCTGTCATCCAAAAACAGTTCATTTATTCTCTTAAATTATCCCTGTGATGTGTATGTGAAACAATTTAAGGCACATAACTAGTACATGGAACACAGCTGAACTCCCAGGGTGGCGCAGTGGATAAGAATCCTCCCGCCAGTGCAGAGGTCACAGGTTCGACCCCTCATTCAGGAAGATCCCACACATCTCAGAGCAATTAAGCCTGTGTGCCACAACTACTGAGTCTGTGCCCTAGAGTCCCACAAGCAGTAACTGCCAAGCCCACATGGTACAACTACGGAAACCCGTGTGTCTAGAGCCTGTGCTCCACAACGAGAGAGTGTGCCCCACCACAATGAGCAGCCACTCACCACGAGGAAGAGCAGCCCCCGCTTGCTGCAACTAGAGAAAGCCGTAGAAAAGCAACGAAGACCCAGTGCAGCCAAAAATATATTAATTAAAACAATAAAAGCACACAGTGGAGTCCCTGCTTTACTAAGGAGGTGGAATTTCCAAGTGTATAAAATCCCTGCATTTAACAAAAAGGATATGCCCCTTTGACCAGAATGACCACTGTCATAATATTCTACGGAATAGCCCATTCTCATAAGGCTTTTTTTACTCATGAACATATGACTGAAATAGGAGAAGCCAGAAGGATTGTACATAATACACTAAAAATACTCTGGAGATGACATGATAACCCGATATACTGCTGCTGCTAAGTCACTTCAGTCGTGTCCAACTCTGTGCGACCCCATAGACGGCAGCCCACCAGGCTCCCCCGTCCCTGGGATTCTCCAGGCAAGGACACTGGAGTGGGTTGCCATTTCCTTCTCCAATGCATGAAAGTGAAAAGTGAAAGTGAAGTCGCTCAGTCGTGTCCGACTCTTAGCGACCCCATGGACTGCAGCCCACCAGGCTCCTCGGTCCATGGGATCTCCCAGGCAAGAGTACTGGAGTGGGTTGCCATTTCCTTCTCCAAACCCGACATACTAGCCCCCTCTTTTCTTCCATTTAGCATCTGTCTTTGTACACTCATAAATACTAACTGGCACAAATGATGTAGAAGAAACAGAAGAACCATCTCAACCACAGCCTGCTCTGAGAGCAGGCTGAAATAAGCAGTACCAGAAAGCAAGGTGCTTGAGTTAGATGACCACATAATATGTTGCATATACATATAAACCAGAACACTTACAAACAAGAACGCAAAAAAACACTGATGCACTTTAGTGTTATTTACCTGTGAGCCTGCAGCTGCATTATTAATCAGATTATTGTTGGGATGAGCAATCCAGAAAGTTGAAACAGCCCTGAAAGGCATTTTTTTTAAGATGATTTAAATATTCATCAGGAAAAATCGCATCTTCTAAAAACCTCCCACTAAACATATCCCCCAAAAGCCAACAGGCCTTGGCCATCACACGTAAGCTTTTCACTCCACCAATTACTCACATACAGTCAGTGGCAGGCACAGGGATATAATTTCCAAAAACTTTTTCCCTCATGGTGATGCACATGGAGTTATTCCTATCCGTGGGAAGAAGTGTGCCTGGTTTGGTGAGGAGTCCCAGATTGTGGAACAAAGTATTTCTCTGTTCAATACCATCTTCCAGAAAGAAACAATGACCCAGTGTGTCAAATCCGACGGTGTCTTTTATCTGCCAAAATACAAGTGTATAATGTCACTGGTAACAAGACTGGCTGTGGTTGACAAGTGCCATTCATGAGGCAAGCCGAGTACAAAAGCAAAAAGCTTTCATCTCAGCTGATGGGGCAAAGACAAATGTCAGGGTTCACTGATCTCTTAAGAACACAGAAAAAGAGCAGAATTCTCAGGAAGGCTGGATAGAGTAAGACCTGTGGTCCAACAGCTTACTTATATAAAATTGATAAGTCATGGGAATGAAGGAGAGATGACTGCTTTCATAAAATGTATCAACACCATACAAAGCTACTTACCAGCAAGCCATTCGTCCCATGCACAGTGATGCACCTCGAGAAGCTGTGATGAATGGACAGGCCATCCACAAATGCTGCATGTCTGTACCCTCCTCTGGAATCCACATCTCCACATAGATGAAAATGAACAGGATACCGCCCCAGGTGCTGCTGACCCATGTGTTTCAATTCCACGTGAGAAAGATGGACCGAAGTAAAATTCTTCTTTATCTACGAGATAACCAAAAATCAAACAAACACACAAGCAAAGTAGCTTAGGGCAAAGTAGCTCAGAAGCAAAGTAACAAAATACATTGTACATTGTTTTTTTTTAAAAAAAATATTTATTTGGCTGTATCAGGTCTTAGTTGCAGCGTGCAGGATATTTGTTGGGTGCATGGGCTCTCTAGTTGCCCTGTGGTATGTGGGATCTTAGTTCCCTGACCAGGGATTGAACCTGAGTCCCCTGCATTCGAAGGCAGACTCTCAACCACTGGATCACCAAGGAAATTCCCCCAAAATATTGTTTTAATAGAAAATATCTGAAGGAGACCAGACATGAAAGCATTTTTCTTTCACATCCTGTTTTCTTGGATCTCCAACTCAGAATTTAGCAAATGCTCCTTTACATAAATGAATACTTTAAAGAGTAATAAAAAATAGCCTCTTATTAGGAATTAAGGAAAGGTAACCAGGAAGGCTACAAAAATGATTTTTGTACATATGTGTGGGTTTGTTCAAATATTTTGGTCATTTCCTATCTAGTCCAGTTCTTTCACTTCTGTAATCTCCACTGTGGTAAATAATTATTTCTAAATCCTCCCTCAATGATTTAGTTAGCATATAATGTTGTTTACTTCAGTTCTTTTTTAAAAAATGCTTCTATGATCCACAACTTCAGCAGTCTCAATATTTATAAACTCTGGATTTTCAATCATACTACTAAAAACAAAGTCAGTACACTGAGCAACATATCAGAAATCAGTGTAACAGAAATGCAGCAAAAAATAATATCCTACTCAACACACAAAAATTGATTTTAAGACACATGTAGCCAAAATGCAGCCCAGGAGTCCAATATATTAGTACACAGAGCAACATTTAGTATACAATAAGTGCTCAGTACTTTTACAGAATAAAAAATCTGCATATAAAAAATATCTTTACAGAAACATATCTTGAATATGTACATCACTACTGCTTACCCTTCCATAATATCATGGTACAAAAAAAAAACTGATCCTTTCAGAGATTGCATGCATAATACTGAGATTATTTGGTCTTTCTGTCTGTATAACTGATTCTTCTTAATATAAATTGATTTCATTCTTCACAGGACAATTCTTAAATGGTTTAACTAAGAGTCCAGTTCAACTAAATGAAGATATAATGTTATCTTTTAATCATCTAAAATCTCGTTGTCATTGGAAAGAGAAATAAAATGTGATTTCAATAGCCATAAAGATGTCATTCCAAAACTTGAAAGCTTTGTCAAACATGTACTTAGCAGTCAGAGTTTCAGAGAATTCATTAAATCCTTTTGCCTACCATGACATGTCCTCCAAAGGTATCATAATCAAAGAACTGACACTGATTTTCAGCATAGCATGAGTTTTCCATTTCTCCTCGGATGACAATATTCTGGGTAAGAATTCCAACCTCAGCTCTCATGTCTACACCATCTATAATCTCACCCATGTGCAGGAACTGAGGTGTTTCTGGTTGATAAGAGCAAGGCAAAAATAACATTAGAACAAAGAAAACATAAAACTTACATCAAAAAGATAGTAATCTTTATCTTGTAACTTCAAGACATTATTAAATTCATTGTTTGTTTCCATTCTTCAATCCCTCAGAATGAAAGAATCCCAGGAAGCAGAGATTTTATGGATTTCCTACTCTAATCACCCACACTCAGTGCCCTTAACCCCCACTCCCAACTATCAAACCCACACACGGAGAGCTTACTCCTCCCTAAAGTACTGGGTCGGCCAAAAAGTTCCATTTGGGTTTTTCCAGAAGATGTTACATAAAAACTCAAACGAACTTTTTGGCCAAGCCAATAGTTCAGTCTTCTCTTGAACAGCACCAATAATCTGGAACCTAACTAAGAGTCCATGCTGTCTCTCTCTGCTTCCTGTCCATGGGCTCTTGTTCTAGTCCCCTGAGGACACATGAATACCCAAGTACATGCCATAACTAGGAAAACTAATGGTTTTGTAGATGTTAATAATAGGGTGTCAAGTTTTTCTTCCTCCTCCTTCAAAGCTAAAGTAATCTGCACTTGGATATTAACAGTCCAGAAATAACTATCTTTTCTTTCCACTTCTTATTTTAATATTATTATACACTTTTAAATCTCCACCTTTACTAAAAACTTAGAAACATTTTACCCACGAGCTTTTATCTGATCTTTGACTGAACTGAACTGAACTATATAAACTCAGGAAGGAAAACAAATAACCCAAATAATGGAGATTCATTATCATGTATACTTGTTGACAACAATGGGAATTTCCAAACAAAATTAATGCCAGATGGTATGATGATTTTTTACTTTTCAGCTTTCTGCTTATGGCCTGTATGGTCAAGAAGGAAAAGTACAACACTGAGTGAAGCAGGATAAAACTGCCAAGTGAGTCAATTTCATTTTTTTTTGAAGCAAAAAAGTTTCCTTTAACCTTGAAAATTCTAAATTACCCATTGAGTGAGTACTTATTAGTTACTCTAAATTCTTTTGTTTTCTATTGTAAATGTATAATGCATAATTTTTATTACAGAAGCAAGGAAAGCAATATAATGAATGAATGCACAATGAATCCCATAACTGAGGCAATGAAGGAAGAAGCTTTGCCTATCACCAGCCTCAAAATAAGTAACCGGTAAATGTCAGTCATTCTTTCTAAACAGAGCTTACAGTAAGGATCTCATTGTATATTGCTCTCTCTCAAAAAATACATTCATCAAGATTATGACAGGAAATGTAGTTTTATGAAAATACCCAAAAGGTTTCAGTTTAAATATTTGTGAGATCTACTACTGGCCAAGAAAGCAGACACTCAAAGACCATGAGTTTCTTTTTTTTTACATAAAAAAGAGACACTTCTATTTAAAAAATAAACCTAGTTTACTATTATCTAATAGCAGAAATGTAATAAAAAAAAGTTGGAAAGCATATTGAAAAAAAGTTCAATCTGTCTAGTTTTCATCTCTTTTTTTTAAAATATAGAAACTGGTATAAAAACACTGATTTGTCTAAAATACATCATTAACAGCAACATTATTGCTCAACGACTACTTTTCTCTAACATCCTCCGGGGACTCTCGTGTTCAAAGAACCCCACTGCTAAGACCTTCAGTATTGATGACGATGATGACTGAAGGAAAAACAAAGAATCCCAAGAATCATATCTCAAGAAGAGTGTTTCCCAAGAAGCCTTCTTAGCAGTCTGATACCTTTGACTTTGACCTGGAAGCGGCTGCACTCAGGACAGGGGAGAAGAGTAAACTCCTCTGCTTGGTACATGGAATAGTCTGTGCTTGCGACCACAATCTGATCTCCGGGTTCCCAGCTACTAACATCATCCAGCAGGTGCAGTTTTACTCCATCTATGGCCTCTACCCGGAAACCTGAAAAAGAAATACCTAGACCAAAAAGCAAGAAAGAAAGTGATTTTTTTTTTCTCTAAAATCAACCCCTTCACTGATTCATAAATCAAAAGATAAATGTAAGTCAGCAATGCTTCAATCTGACCCATGCACAGGAAAAGATAGGACATGAACACACATAATCTTAACATTAAGAATAAAAGCTGGCCTTACGTGATTTCTCATTTCTAGACCTTTGCTCATCATTTAGTCTCTGTCTACAGTGTCCATCCACTCTTAATTTACCAACCAAGATACTATTCATCTTATAAAGCTCAGGCAAACCTTTCTGGACTTCCCAAACATCCTCTTGGAAGTAACCATTCTCTCCAGTATTCCTATTCTGTTATTTCTCTCTGGTATGACTAGTATCATTCCAATGGGAAGACAGCTCAACTCCCTGGAAGCTTCATCAGTGAAGAGAGCAAAGCACAGCCACCATGTATTCACAGCTCCGTCTCACAGTGCAGACTCATAAACATCTACTGAAGGGATAAGGGCCCCACTATCATCTGCAAAGTGACCCAAAGGCCACAGGATGGTGCCCAGTCCAACTAAGCACCCTTCCTGGGATAACATCAGACTTGCAATCCAGGAACTACTAATTACTGATTTTTCCTGAGACCTCCTTCTGAAATTCAGAATTGGTTCCCAACTAGGCAGATGGAAACTGAAAAGCTGATCCAGCATCTCCATAACTTGCACTCTTTAACATGCAACCAAGAAGTGCAGAAGCTTCTACACTGTTTCCTACTTCTCAAAGTGTCCTTGATACAATCTGTCATGGTCCAAAACCTGATTTAATGCAAATGAATATGGAATAGATGGAAGCTATAGAAAATATGGAAATGTGGGGAGACACCATATTTCAAAGATATCTGTTTACTATCTGTATTTCAGTATCACCTTTCCAATTAATTGACAAACTACTCTGGGGCTACTGGAAGATACTGACCCTAAAAGTCAGTGAGGGACTTCCCTGGTGGCCCAGTGGCTAAGACTCCAAGTTCGCAGTGCTTGGGGACCCAGATTCGATCCCTGGTTGGGACACCACATCCTGCATGCCATAACTAAAGTCCCATATGCCACAACTAAGAGTTGCTGGAGCCAAATAAATATATTTTTTTTAATTAAAAAAAAATAGTCAATGATAGGAATAAAAAAAAACTCATTTACTTAAGTTACAGGAATCAAAATGCAAGATATTTAGGCAAGATACAAAGAATAATACAAATATCCTTACAGTCTTAGGGATACCTGATAATACCTAACCTGAGCAAGTTCTGAAATCTGCTCCACTAGACTGATCTACCATGCTTTCCTGTTTCTACAAAGCACTAAAACAAAACAGAAAAAAAAAGGAAGGAACCTAATGAATGTAAAGTGTCTTTTCTTTATGTTTCTTTCACATAAATACTAAAGCCCATAATGGAATATTTTGTCTAAATAAAGATAATAACTATCAATGATGGCTAACAATTGTTGGGATTTCACATACATAATAACCTTTCATCAAAACAGCTTTGAGATAGAGGAACTATTAAATGCATTAGAGATAAAAGAAGCAAAGGTCAGGGAGTCTGACTAATAGCTAAAAAAAGAGCCCACAATGAATGCTAATTTAATTCCAGAGTCCAATTTTCCTAACCTCTATATCATTCTTCCTTCCTAAGAACTAAAACAGGCAGGTTAAGACTAAAGATAATGCTTTTAAAAAAATTTTCTAGATAAATAAATTTTAACTTAAAAGATCATTAGAATTTGCTTCTGTTAAAAAAAAAAAAAAAAAAGGTTACATAGAGAAAAATCTGTATTATTCAACAATTCTTCACTTTTTTCTGGATGTAGAAGAAAATCCTTCCTGAGATATCTCCTACTGGCACTAATGAACTGGAAGTAGGAAAGGAAATAGGTTCACCACCCTAGCTTCCTGGAGTGAATTTCTACCTCTTGCAGAAACCAGGAGATATCCTACAATAGACAGCTAGAATGTATCCTTTCTCAGAAATGAGCAGTCATTGGTAATGTGAAAATGTAAGCAAAATTTCTCACAAAGGGAATGTTGACTCCAAGTCTGTCATCCTCTGCCTGGAGTCTTACTGAAAGAAGTTCCACTAAACTCTTCATGCAAGTCCAAATTCCTGCTCAGAAATACTTCTCATCTACCTTGGTTTTTTGCCAGAGGCAATCATGATGTGGTTGAAAGAACAATAGTCTTGGAGGCAGAAAACTTAGGCTTGATTCCAGTTTCCTCATCCATAATAGATACTATCTCCTCACCTCAAACTCAGAAGGCTGCTTAAATGGAGCATGTGAATTCCATTCCAGGAACTCTGTTTATCTGTTTGTTTTAAAGCAAAAGACTCCTTTTTTAATTACAAGAATAAAAAATACAGTTATATCCCAAGTCATGTTTGCATTACTGTTAAAACAGCTAACCTTTATTGAGTGCTTACTATATAGTCTGTGCTAAAAACTTCATATTCTTCATGTTTGATATTCACAGCAGCCCTATGTGGTAGTTTCCATTATTATCCCCATTTTCAGATGAGGAAACTAAGGGTTAGGAAGTTAAAGTCATATGCCGTCATCATACAGTAAGTAAAACAGCTGGGACATGAACCCAGGCATTCTGTCTCCAGAAATCCATTTCAGTGAATACTTTGCTACAGTGCTGCTAAAAACAGAGGTATGTGCCCAGCCTAAAATAAGCTTTTCTGGGTAATTACAGATGTAATAAACCACCTTTTAACTACTCATTTCACATTAATTTTGGGATAATACTGGGTTGGAAAAGAAAGGTGGTGGGCAAGCACAGACAGGAGGCTGCCAATTCACCTGGAGCCAAAAAAATCTAGCAGCAAAATACAGAAATTCTTCAGTGAATTTCCTTTAAAAAAAAAAAAAAAGGTGAGAGTATCATTGTTAGACATGATAGTTCTTCTGAAAAGTGGATTCTAATTTTCAAAATATGCTGAAGAAAAGTAAAGACCTAAGATAACTTTAAAATATATTATTTAAGGAAAGGCAAGCAAGTTAAAACAAAATGAACACTAGGGGAGGGAACATAGATTTTAAATGCTAATTAACTCTGAATGATAGGGTGAAACATTAATTTTAACTTTGTACTTTTCTCTGTTTTCCAGTTTGTCTATAAAATAAATGTAGTAGCTGAATTATCAACGAAACATTGCTAAGCAACCGAGTAATTTGTTTACACAGCATGTGTTCAAAGGTAATATTTGTCGATACAGCTATATAACAATAAGAACCAAAGTACAAAACCAGTTCACTGTCACAGAACATAATCAAAGACAGCTCACCCTATCACATCCAGATTGGTTCGACTGATACTAAATCTAGGAAACAAATCTATTAACCACACCTAATGACTCAAGAATTACAAACAATGTCCAACTGAGGATGCCTAAACTAGATCATTTTCTAATCCAGAAAAAAGAGTGTTGTTTCAGCCTAGAAGATCAACTATAGTTGGGAAACTATAGGTTTCATCTTCAACCAGTTGAGAAATAGAAATAGACTGTCATTTGAATACAATGCCACTTTAAAAAACATTTATCACAATACTTACCAATGTATTAACAAGAGTATAAACTGTGCTTGCCTACCTTCAATCCATTCACTATAAGCTGTCACAGAGAACTTCTGACCATCCACAGTATAAAATTCTCTTTGGGCGAGAGCCTTCCCTCCACTACTATGATTCTCATAGTTTCTTACAGATTCATTGCAAGTACTGCCATCATCAATGACACCAACCAAAGCCCAAGCTTGCCTAGAAGGAAAAAGAGCAGGTGCAACTGATTATTTGTCATGGTACTGACCCAAATCCCCAACACAGATGTTATGACAGGTGCTATTAACTCTATTTCATTTTTGTCAATCCCTCCAACTCTTTTTCCACATGAGGTTGCAAGTCCAAACTTGACTGAAAAAACTGACACCACAAAAGGAAATGCACCTGGATCTTAAATCCCTGTTTGTCCAGTTCTGTAACAGGTGAAACGCTGATTACTATGATTTCAATTAATCATTGACTTCCCCGATGCACACTCGTTTCATTCACATTACTTTTTATTATTATTTTTTCTAATCTTCTGGCCACTCAACATGTGGGGTGTCAGTTTCCAACCAGATATGAAACCAGCATCCCTTGCATTAGAGGACAGATTCTTAACCACTGGATCACCAGTGTGTGTTAGTCACTCAGTTGTGTACGACTCTCTGTGACCCCAAGGACTGTAGCCCACCAGGCTCCTCTGTCCATGGAATTCTCCAGGCAAGAATACTGGAATGGATTGCAACTCCCTTCTCTAGGGGATCTTCCCAACCCAGGGACTGAACCCAGGTCTCCTGCATTGCAAGCAAATTCTTTACCATCTGAGCCACCAGGGAAGCCCCCATTTCTTTTTAAATGATTATTGCCTGGTCTCTTTTTCACTCTTATCTCTGCTCTCAAATCTAACTACATAATAGAATCATATGGGAGCTTTAGAAACATATCCAAGCTTAGACTCAGCCCACACCAACGCAACCAACATCTCTACAGGCGGGGCCTAGCATTAGTCTGTTTTAAAGTTCCCCAGATGCTCTGACTGTGCAGCCACACTGGAGAACCACCAAGTTAGGGCAGGGGTTCTCAGACTCATTGGTATCAGAATTAAATGTAAGGCTTGTTAAACCAGACTGCTGGGCCGCACCTTCTGACTGTTGCATGTGCGGCCATAGAATTACTGACAAGTTCCCAGGTGATGCTGATGCTGCCGGTCTGGGAACCACACTGCGAACCTGAGTCACAGGTCAGAGGTTACAGCAGTAGGCGTTATCTTTGACTGCATAATTGCCAGTGGGGAGCGGGGTATGTCCTACGCTTCAGAGATCCTGATGTAAATGATGTACTGTGGGCCATCAGGTACATGATCTCAGGTGTGCAAACAAAGCTGAGAACCGCTGGGTTATTAGTTTAATATTAAAGCTGTAGAATCACTATTCAACAGGTTTTTAATTTTACATGCTTTATATCTAGTTGTTGAAAGCAATACACTTGAAAAACACCATTTTATTTCTGTGATACTGTGATAAACATTCCAGGGACTCTGCTCAAGCTTGTGACCAAAGTCAATTTGAAAAAAAAAGAAAGAAAGAATAAAGACAAAACATCAGAAAATTAGCCTTAAGACTCCTGGTTTAAAACATGAAAAGAAAAATGTCAGCTTCCTACTGTAGGGGGGAAAAAATGCCAAATATAATCTATGCTAGACAGATGGCTGGATATTCACAGATGAAAGTTAACCAATGCATGCCTACATCCTTACAAATCCCACACCCGCCCCTGCGTGGATTAGCTACTCTTTGGCTGACTATTTTATAGCTCTATTTATATTCTTTGATACAGCAGAAAGAATCAAATGAAGAATGTTTTAGTTTATTATCTCCTATGTGAGGAAAGGAGAGGAGGACTATCAGAGGCTTCCTTTATTTACCAGAACTGCCTCAGCAACTATAAAACAATGTTCTATTCTACTGACACTATCTCCAAAACACTCCTACTTCCCTCCTCCAGTGGGCCATCAGGTACATGATCTCAGGTGTGCAAACAAAGCTGAGAACCGCTGGGTTATTAGTTTAATATTAAAGCTGTAGAATCACTATTCAACAGGTTTTTAATTTTACATGCTTTATATCTAGTTGTTGAAAGCAATACACTTGAAAAACACCATTTTATTTCTGTGATACTGTGATAAACATTCCAGGGACTCTGCTCAAGCTTGTGACCAAAGTCAATTTGAAAAAAAAAGAAAGAAAGAATAAAGACAAAACATCAGAAAATTAGCCTTAAGACTCCTGGTTTAAAACATGAAAAGAAAAATGTCAGCTTCCTACTGTAGGGGGGAAAAAATGCCAAATATAATCTATGCTAGACAGATGGCTGGATATTCACAGATGAAAGTTAACCAATGCATGCCTACATCCTTACAAATCCCACACCCGCCCCTGCGTGGATTAGCTACTCTTTGGCTGACTGTTTTATAGCTCTATTTATATTCTTTGATACAGCAGAAAGAATCAAATGAAGAATGTTTTAGTTTATTATCTCCTATGTGAGGGAAGGAGAGGAGGACTATCAGAGGCTTCCTTTATTTACCAGAACTGCCTCAGCAACTATAAAACAATGTTCTATTCTACTGACACTATCTCCAAAACACTCCTACTTCCCTCCTCCACTTGAGGAAAATTTCAACGTGCCAGACATTATCTTCAAAGGGGCATGTTTATGTACCCTAGAGATAATATAAATGGAAAGGAACACTGGCAAAGGATTGCAATTCTAATTTCTCCGTCAAATCAGCAGCAATATTTTAAAAGGAATTTGAAAACAGTAGGGAGAAGATTACCCCAAAAGTCAAACAAAACATTCAGAGCTAATGATCATACAAATCTAGAACAATAATGACTTAAAGAAACAAAAGTTATTATCTCTGGTACTATCGGATGATTATGAAATAGAGTAGGTATCTGAGCAGACCATGCTTTCACTCCTAGGTCTATCAATTATAGAAATACCTGCACATAAGCATGAAAAGAAACTCCAGTACTTTGGCCACCTGATGCAGAGAGTCGACTCCTGGGAAAAGACTGTTGAAGGGAAAGATGGGGGGCAAGAATAGAAGGGGGCGACAGAGGATGAGATGGTTGGATGACATCCCTGGCTCAATGGACATGAGTTTGAGCAAACTCTAGGAGATAGTGAAGGACAGGGAAGCCAGCATGCTGCAGTTCATGGGATCGCAAAGAGCGGGACATGACTTAGCGACTGAACAACAACAACAAATATTCCCCGTGTGAGCAAAAAGAGGTTTAAAACCACTGCAGACCCTTTTTCTTCACTAATTTTTGTCTTAACTTTCTCTACAATTTCTATAGATAATATTCCATTCTAACACTGACCAAAGGAAAAAATAATAACTAGATAAATCAACCATCAAAGGAAAAAAAGAGAAACTAGATCATTTCAACATGCCAGTTTTGAAGTTCTCTAACTTTTCACTGCAGATATCCCCTGGCTTTATTGTGAACAGTAAGCAGAAAACTTCTGTTTTCTTTGTGAATGTTGAGCCAGCTACTTCCCCAGAACCGCATTAGGAAATCATGATTAACCAGAATATGGCACAAGAACATAGGAATAAATTGTAGGAATGAATCCTACTATGTGGATGAACTTCCAGGCCCTCCAACTCGGGCCAGGGTCTCATAGGACAGTGCCAATCAAACAAGATTCAAATTAAAGGATTCAAAAAACAAAAGAAAAACAAAAAGAGAGAGAGAGAAAGAAAAGAAAAAGAAACCTGTGCGTGTTCCACCCCTCCTCGTACTTTTAAGACAACTTTTACTCCTTAGCCCAGAACGGGGCCCTAACCTTTCAACTCATAAGGTGCCTCAATTAGCCTGAGTTTCATATGATCTTCAGAAGATACTATAAGAAGGAAGTCAATTTCCTTAAACTGATTGTTTTTCAGAACCATACTCCTGTTCTTAATTTTTCACAAGTCCAATGCTAAGGTTCACAAAGTGTTTCATAAACCAAAGCTTAGAAAAGAGCTTTGTAACCAGTATTCTGTCCTCCAATTCAAAGCAAGAGGCAACCAGACTTCCAAATTGTAGTGGCCATTCTGACACCTGACTTTCTCCATCACACTCTCCTCTCACACAGACAGAGATTCTAATACGCAGCGGGAAGGAAAGTAAAAAAAGGATAGGTGTGGGGCCTCCCTGCAGTCCAGTGGCTGGTAGTCCACCTGCCAATGAAGGGAACGTGGGTTTGATCCCTGGTCCAGGAGGACCCCACCAGCCGAGGGGCCGCTGGGCCCTCAAGCCACAACTACTGAGCCTAGGGCCCTAGAGTCCGTGCTCCGCGACAAGAGGAGCCGCCGCGAGGAGAATCCGAGCACCGCAGCCAGAGAGCAGCCTCGGCTCGCCGCGAGAGAAAGCCTGGCAGCAAGGAAGACCCAGCACAGTCAAAAATAAATAAATACAAAGCTGTAAAATATATCTTCATGCTAAAAAAAAAATAAAAAAGATATGCATGCCCACCTGTAGCCCAGCCCTTGGATCAGCTTACTTCCCAGCCGGTCCTGGATCATCTGTATGGTTCCTTGTAAAAGGCTTTTAACAGCTGAATCTCCAACAGCTATGGCAACAATCCGCCCCGGATCCTGGTCTCTCAGGAATTTCTGAAGACGCCTACTTTCATTTTGGGATTCATGGGTATCAAATCTCTCAATTTCCAAAATTTTGGCTGTGTCTTGATCAATGACCCTCACATTGAGGCCCCTGGAAAAGTCCTTTTTAAAGGCATAGGAGCCAAAGGTCAAGCCTGAAGCATTCAGAGTTCTCACCAACAATGTCCATGATGCCTTCTGTGTCCCATGTAATTCCAGTGTCCCACCGGCTTCCACACCAATAAATTTTTTGCCAAATGTTGGCATACTTTCACCTTCATCTGACTTGCCATACAAGGCAATTGTCGCTTTGGATTTATAGCGGCATTTTTCTGCTCCAATATGAAGCGCCCCACCATCCTTGATCAGGATGTAACGAGTCCTCAAAGTAATATTTCTGGATCCATCTTTATCATCCCCAAACACAAGCAGTCCTGTAGGGAATAACACTAAGTAAGCCAGTTTCTGAAATATCTTTCTAAGGTACAGAGAAATAGCTTTCATCTTAAGAGGGAAAAAAAGCACTTTTGCAGTTAAGTTGGGAAAAAGAATTTACTGTAAGTCTGCTTAGAAAATTGAATGTTTTCAAAACATATTAAAGCAATGGAGAATTCATATCTCAACACCCTAAACATGCCCATGTGTAAGAATTTCAATCCATTCACTTTAAAGGTAAATCATTTCTAGAAAAATATCTAAGACTCTACAAATCTGAATCTCATTTTTACCTATATTAACCTACATTAATTCTCTCATCACTCTCCATAGTTGTAACAAAGATTTAACTATGAGAGATGACCTTCCGGAGCTCTTTCTTTCTGAATAAATCAACGGTCTTGACTTCAGTGATTTCTAGGGCCCTTCTAGCTGTTGAATTCTACGGTTCTAACTTAGGAAACGTTCCTGTCTCCACGATTAGAGTGACACCACATTCTAAATGCCAACAATAGTTTTCTACATAAAGAACATCAAATGTTGCTGTTCCCATAGACAGGGACCGTTACCTCCATCCTGAATAACTATAGAATTCACTGTGGCATCTGAGGTCAGACGAAACATATCTCCTTCCTTGATAACAACTTGTTTTGCAGAATCTTGTCCTGGATCCCAGTTCCTGAGACGAGGGTTTTGATCTGGGCAATTCTCTATAAAGCAAAGCAACATCAATACCCCATTAAACCAACAAGACACAAAAATACCTTTAGCCAAATTCAAGTACTACTGTTGTTTATTGCAACTTGCAAGTAATGGGCTGACATATTTTAATTTCTTTCCATAAGGATGGAATTCCTATCCCATCCCACCAAGCAGAGCTATGTCAAATCCTTTACTTCCTCAAAACATAAAAAAGGTTTCACCACAAAAGCAAGTTGCTCTCATCTAGTTTGGGTCAGAGTCCAGTAAAAACAGAGTTCCCCTGAACTATCTACTCTGGAAACAAATCAACAGTAAGAGGCAAAACTCTGAATTGTGTTTAGAAAAGAAAATAAGTTCACAACATACTGATAGGTAAAAAAATGAAAAAAAAAAAAGGAAAATTGCTAAGCAATATGCATATTAGGTCTTCCCAGGTTCCTTCCTATGCATGGAGAATCATAAAGTAGGTGATAACGGCACTTCCTTCATCACAAAGGCAGCTGCTGATAAATAGCGGTATCTTCAGACATGTACATTTTCCCAACAAAACTGCAAGTGGCAAATAGCCAAAACCATGACTTCTCATTTTCAGAGATGAGGAAACTACAGATTAGAGAAGCCAAACCCAAGACAACTCAGCAAGTTGAGTGATATGAAAGTTCCCCTTTAAGAAATGAGGTTTAACAACAACAACAACAAAAAATGAGGTTTACTTTCCTTGCAGTGCTCCTTTGCTAGAATTTGCCTCTTGAATAGATGATGATGAAAATACAAAAAGTATTTTGCATTGCCAAAGCTATTTAATGCATGAGACCTTTCATTTATATATATATAAAATTTGGGAGAGAGGAAAAAATATCACACCAATTTTTTAAAATTTATTTTTAATGTCAGGATAATTACAATATTGTGTTGATTTCTCCCATACATCAACAAGGATCAGTCACAGATATACATATGTCCTCTTCCTCTGGAGCCTGCCTCCCACCTCTTACCCTATCCCACTCCTCTAGATTGTCACAGAGTCCTGGTTTGCGTTTCCTGAATCATACAACAAATTCCCACTGGCTATTTTCCATATGTTAGTGTATATGTTTCCATGCTACTCTCTCCATTATCACACCAATTTTGACCAATTAATGACCAAGTAGTTATTGAGGACAAATTTGTCCACTCTGGACTAGATAGTGTAAAATTCATAAAGTTTATAATATATAAAATTTATAATGAGCTCACAGCCCTTAGAGTATATAATCTAGTTTTGTATGAACTAATACTGAAAAATACGGTAGATTCTTTAGATGCAAAAAAGCTCAGAGAAAGGAGAGGTGGCGCTAGAGTAACTCAGACAGCTTCAACGGAGCAGACCTAGACCCCCAAAGAGTGGACAGGATTTAAAAAAGAGGAGCATGAAGGGGAGATATGAATATTAACGATGCAAACATCCCTTATGGTCCAAGTCCATTCGGTTGCTCATTTAGAATAACCAGATGTCACCTACATTTAAACTAAGCAAAGATTAGAAAGGACAGGGTACACTTGTATGAAGTGGAAGGTACATACTACAGGATAATGTGAGAAAAAGGAGAGATACTGCGTACATCACAAAGATATAGTTTTTTATAGGAAGTAAACTATGATTCCTCATTTTGAACTTGCACACCACTAATGCAAACATCTATTTCTAAGCATTCATGTTGGTTTATGCTTTCTTTTTGAGGTGATAGTAACCACTACCATTAAAATTAGTCCTACTAGGTAAGACCTTGGCAATTACTTCATGGAATTAATTTTTGCCTAGCAGCTTCATAATCATTGATATTTAATTCTGATAAATCAATGATCATCACTAATATGCGAAGAATAGTCAAACTTTTCTTTCTATCAAAAAAACAAGAAACGTCTTGAATTCATTCAGACTTAATATTGAGGATTTCTTGAGCTTTTCTTGAAGTACTACTGTTGTTTATTGCAACTTGCAAGTAATGGGCTGACATATTTTAATTTCTTTCCATAAGGATGGAATTCCTATCCCATCCCACCAAGCAGAGCTATGTCAAATCCTTTACTTCCTCAAAACATAAAAAAGGTTTCACCACAAAAGCAAGTTGCTCTCATCTAGTTTGGGTCAGAGTCCAGTAAAAACAGAGTTCCCCTGAACTATCTACTCTGGAAACAAATCAACAGTAAGAGGCAAAACTCTGAATTGTGTTTAGAAAAGAAAATAAGTTCACAACATACTGATAGGTAAAAAAATGAAAAAAAAAAAAGGAAAATTGCTAAGCAATATGCATATTAGGTCTTCCCAGGTTCCTTCCTATGCATGGAGAATCATAAAGTAGGTGATAACGGCACTTCCTTCATCACAAAGGCAGCTGCTGATAAATAGCGGTATCTTCAGACATGTACATTTTCCCAACAAAACTGCAAGTGGCAAATAGCCAAAACCATGACTTCTCATTTTCAGAGATGAGGAAACTACAGATTAGAGAAGCCAAACCCAAGACAACTCAGCAAGTTGAGTGATATGAAAGTTCCCCTTTAAGAAATGAGGTTTAACAACAACAACAACAAAAAATGAGGTTTACTTTCCTTGCAGTGCTCCTTTGCTAGAATTTGCCTCTTGAATAGATGATGATGAAAATACAAAAAGTATTTTGCATTGCCAAAGCTATTTAATGCATGAGACCTTTCATTTATATATATATAAAATTTGGGAGAGAGGAAAAAATATCACACCAATTTTTTAAAATTTATTTTTAATGTCAGGATAATTACAATATTGTGTTGATTTCTCCCATACATCAACAAGGATCAGTCACAGATATACATATGTCCTCTTCCTCTGGAGCCTGCCTCCCACCTCTTACCCTATCCCACTCCTCTAGATTGTCACAGAGTCCTGGTTTGCGTTTCCTGAATCATACAACAAATTCCCACTGGCTATTTTCCATATGTTAGTGTATATGTTTCCATGCTACTCTCTCCATTATCACACCAATTTTGACCAATTAATGACCAAGTAGTTATTGAGGACAAATTTGTCCACTCTGGACTAGATAGTGTAAAATTCATAAAGTTTATAATATATAAAATTTATAATGAGCTCACAGCCCTTAGAGTATATAATCTAGTTTTGTATGAACTAATACTGAAAAATACGGTAGATTCTTTAGATGCAAAAAAGCTCAGAGAAAGGAGAGGTGGCGCTAGAGTAACTGAGACAGCTTCAACGGAGCAGACCTAGACCCCCAAAGAGTGGACAGGATTTAAAAAAGAGGAGCATGAAGGGGAGATATGAATATTAACGATGCAAACATCCCTTATGGTCCAAGTCCATTCGGTTGCTCATTTAGAATAACCAGATGTCACCTACATTTAAACTAAGCAAAGATTAGAAAGGACAGGGTACACTTGTATGAAGTGGAAGGTACATACTACAGGATAATGTGAGAAAAAGGAGAGATACTGCGTACATCACAAAGATATAGTTTTTTATAGGAAGTAAACTATGATTCCTCATTTTGAACTTGCACACCACTAATGCAAACATCTATTTCTAAGCATTCATGTTGGTTTATGCTTTCTTTTTGAGGTGATAGTAACCACTACCATTAAAATTAGTCCTACTAGGTAAGACCTTGGCAATTACTTCATGGAATTAATTTTTGCCTAGCAGCTTCATAATCATTGATATTTAATTCTGATAAATCAATGATCATCACTAATATGCGAAGAATAGTCAAACTTTTCTTTCTATCAAAAAAACAAGAAACGTCTTGAATTCATTCAGACTTAATATTGAGGATTTCTTGAGCTTTTCTTGTACCACCTTCTCTACCCATAAAACATTTAACTGGAGTTCTCCATGATATCACAAGCAAATGTAGGTCCCAAGACACAAGCAATGGACCCAGTTAGAGAAGAAAATCCAGAAGGAATCTAACCTCAAAAGATCTAAAACCTACTATAATAATTATATAATTCCTCTTAATTGTTTATAGTTATTTCCTAGGGAAGCATGCTTCACAAAAAAATTTTTATCACCCAAAATTCTAATCTGTTTTTTTCCAGTAAAGTACATTTAATGAGAAAACATGTAGTCTGCAGAAAGCATCAAAAAATAGGTTAGCCAGCCCAACCTTCTTGGCTACCCACTTGTTGAGTAGTGGGATTCATTTTTAAAGTTATGTAACAGCAGTAACCACAGTAGGGCTGATTCTGAAATATTTTAGCATACCAGGTCTTTCCACTGATATTCTGCCCTTTACTGCCAAAATGTGAAACTAAAAAATGTTGATTCAAGGAACCACATCACCAATTCACTGTCTTAGCTGGAATATGAAAATGTCAATTAAAGCCACAGATTTTAGCTCTGATTTTCCATAATCTAGCATCCATTTACTGCAGATTGCTTGGAAAGAATGAATCAACAGCAGTGAACTTGGTTATTTCTCTGGAGAAAAGAGGAGAGAAAGTCAATGGTATATGCAACAAAAAGTAATGTTGCAAGTTCTTTACGTGGTCCACTGGCTTGGCCAACAAAGCTGTTGACAGACACCTCAACATCACTCTGTCAGAATGAAGTATAAGTCAGAAAGAGAAAAACAAATATTTTATACTAACACAAAACATAAAATCTAAAAAAAATGGCATAGATGAAACTTATTTGCAAAGCAGAAATAAAGACATACCAAGGAAGGAAGGTAGGGTGGGATGGACTGGGAGATTGGGATTGACCTACATAATTACTATGTATAAAATAGATAACTAATGAGAACCAACTGTATAGCACAAGGAGCTCTACTTAAAGCTCTATGGTGACCTAATGGGAAGGAAATCCAAGGAAGAGGGGATACGTGTATACGTATGGCTGATTCACTTTGCTGTATGGCAGAAACTAACACATTATAAAGCAACTACATTAAAAAAAACAAAACAAACACATATACATTAAAAAAAAAAGTCAAATGAACATCTCTCTTTCTTCAGGTCTACTTTTTTACAAGTATTGACATTATCTCCCCCTAAACCTTTAAGTCTCTAAGACCCCTAAATCATCCATGAAAACTAAATAGACTAATGTTTCCAAGTCTTACAACCAGTAAGTGAAAGTGTGTTAGGGACTCAGTCATGTTCAACTCTTTGCAACCCCATGGACTGGATCCCGCCAAGATCCTCTGGCCATGGAATTCTCCAGGCAAGAATACTGGAGTGGGTAGCCATTCACTTCTCCAGGGGATCTTCCCAACCCGGGGATCAAACCCAGATCTCCTGCAATGCAAGCAGATTCTTTACCATCTGATTCATTCCAGGGACGCCTATAACCAGTAAAATACTTCTCAAATGTTATATCCATTTAAGAAGGCACTAATTCAGCAAAAATCTGTTGCAGATGATAAAATAATGCAGACCAATATGGTGGCCTGGTCTGCTTTCTCCACAGCTCTGAGCCCTTTGATTTTTAGAGAGGGATGGGGTGTATTTTGAGGCCAGTCTTCATTGGTACTGGGGTTTTCCAGGTGGCTCAGAGGCAAAGAATTCGCCTGCCAATGAAGGAGACGCTGGAGATGCAGGTTCGATCCCTGGGTTGGGAAGATCCCCTGAAGGAGGAAATGTCAACCCACTCCAGTATTCTTGCCTGGGAAATCTCATGGACAGAGAAGCCTGGCGGGCTACAGTCCATAGGGGTGTAAAGAGTCAGGCACGACTAAACATATAAACATTTTAGCAGTGCTATACTGAGGCTGACTGACAATATCATTCAAAGTACTGCGATGTCACCAACTCGAAAAGCAAAAACCATTTAAAAAATTAAAATCCTCCTAAATGAAGTTTAACTATGAAAACAAGTGTACCAGAACTTACACCTACTAATGGATATTTTCCTTTAAGGATACACATTATTACTCAAAAATACTGGGAGCTTCTCTTTTGGAACTGTCCCCTCAACTGGTTTCAAACGGCAGAACACAAATCCTATCACTTTCACTTTCTTCCCCCAATTAAATGTACTTTTTATCACTGCATTTAGTAATTCTTATTACTAAAAACTTGTGGCAATCTGAAAATCATACCTACTACAAAAGACGAAATTGTGCCACCACAAGATTTCAGTAAAGACTCTTAAAATTACCATTTTGAAAAGAAATGTTCCAAGAAGGTCTGTGAGCCCTGGGGCAAAGTGGCAAATGGAAAGGAAGAGCAATCTTTTATCATTTTCAATGGATTCCTTTAACAATTGCTCTCATTCATAAGAGGTTATAGCTCCTATTATCTACATTATATATAAGTTAGCTAGAGCCAAGTTAAGATAACAAAAGATTTTTCAGAATTTATTCTATTTCCTTCCCTTCTTTCTTCTCCTATATGTACTCACCATCTGGAGCATATTTTGAGGATATTCCTAAAATGACGGCAAGTGCAACAAAAAATGAAAAACTAGTAATAGCAAAGCAAATGAAAGTATTTTTGTGCCTCTTCTGCTTTCGGCGCTCTCTCTGGACTTGCTGTTCCTCAGATGAAAAAGCAAAGCTGGCCTGGGCTTCCTGTCGGATGGAGGTAAGTTTGGCTGAAGCTTGGCTCTTTGGAGGAGGAGGGGGACGCAGTGGGACAACCTTCCCTGGAACATAGCCAGATGAACGATGGCTGTTTCCATTCTGAGGTTGCAGGAAAGCAGGGGAGTGTCCCCTGGAATTAGTGGCATGCATGATACACTGGCACTGTGAAAAGAAACAAACAAAAAAAACTTTAGGCTCAGAAATGTGAGAACTGCAATGCCTTTTTTTTTTAGTGTGGTAAAATATATATAACATGAAACTTACCATTTTAAACATTTATAAATGTGTAATCCAGTGGCATTAAGCACATTCACAATGTTGTACAATCATCACAATCATCTATTTCCAGGGCATTTTCATCATCCCAAACAGAAACTCTGTACCCATGAAGCAAAAACATTTCCCTCCTTCTCCCCAGTCACCACTATAATGACTTTTTTGAAAATATCATCAGCTTACATCCTGATATATTAAACTGTGTCAACAATCACCTTCAGTGATCCTCTTCTAATGCCACTGCTTCTCCACCCTACACACTATAATCACTTGATAACTTAATGCCCAATGCCACACCCCAAAAATAGTCAGGAGGCAAGCAACTGCATCTTTTAAATGATACAGTGATTCTAATGGGCACCTTGGTTGAGAACCACTGTTGCAGGGCAGCTTTTCTCAACTGTGCATAAGATTCCCAAGGGAAGCTTGTGAAATAGGTAGATTCCTAGGTTTTCCACCCCACTCATTCTGGCTCAGTGGGTGGAAAGAGGGCCCTGGAGTTTATATTTTTAAAATGTACCTTGGTGACACTGAATCAGGTGTTCACCCGTGAGTATAACTATTGTAAAGCTCTTCAAATTGAAGTTGAAGTCCATCTGTCATATGAGGACCACAAGGTGGTCCTAACAAGTTTCAACAGGCAAGCATACATGTTTCAGTTCAGTTCAGTTCAGTCGCTGAGTCGTGTCCAGCTCTTTGCGACCTCATGGACTGCAGCACACCAGGCTTCCCTGTCCATCACCAACTCCTAGAGTTTGCTCAAACTCATGTCCATTGACTCGATGATGCCATCCAACCATCTCATCCTCTGTCATCCCCTTCTCCTCCTGCCTTCAATCTTTCCCAGCATCAGGGTCTTTTCAAACGAGTCAGTTCTTCGCATCAGTAATGGAGTTTCAATTTCAGCTTCAGTAATGGCCAAAGTAATGGAGTTTCAGCTTCAGCATCAGTCCTTCCAATGAATACTCAGGACTGATTTCCTTTAGGATGGACTGGTTGGATCTCCTTGCAATCCAAGGGACACTCAAGAGTCTTCTCCAACATCACAATTCAAAAAGCATCAATTCTTTGGTGCTCAGCTTGCTTTATAGTCCAGCTCTCACATCCATACATGACTACTGGAAAAACCAAAGCTTTGACCAGACGGGCATTTGTTGGCTTGTTAATATGCTGTCTGGGTTGGTCATAACTTTTCTTCCAAGGAGCAAGTGTCTTTTAATTTCATGGCTGCAGTCACCATCTGCAGTGATTTTGGAGCCCAAGAAAATAAAGTCTGTCACTGTTTCCACTGTTTCCCCATCTACTTGCCATGAAGTAATGGGACCAGATATCATGAATTTCCTGAATGTTCAGTTTTAAGTCAGCTTTTTCACTCTCCTCTTTCACTTTCAAGAGGCTCTTTAGTTCCTCTTCTCTTTCTGCCATAAGGGTGGTGTCATCTACATATCTGAGGTTATTGATATTTCTCCCTGCAATCTTGATTCCAGCTTGTGCTTCACCCAGCCCAGCATTTCACATGATGTATACAGAATAGAAGTTAAATAAGTAGGGTGACAATATACAGCCTTGACATATTCCCTTCATAATTTGGAACCAGTTGTTGTTCCATGTTCCATTATAACTATTACTTCTTGAGCTGCATACACATTTCCCAGAAGGCAGGTAAGGTGGTCTGGTATTCCCATCTCTTGAAGAATGTTCCACAGTTTGTTGTGCTCTACACAGTCAAAGGCTTTAGCATAGTCAATGAAGCAGATGTTTTTCTGGAATTCACTTGCTTTTTCTATGATCCAGTGGATGTTGACAACTTGATCTCTCATGTCCCTGCCTTTTCTAAATCCAGCTTGGACATTTGGAAGTTCACGGTTCACTGATGAAGCCTGACTTGGAGAATTTTGAGCATTATTTTGCTAGTGTGTGAGATGAGTGCAACTGTGCAGCAGTTTAAGCATTCTTTGGCATTGTCTTTCTTTGAGAATGAAATGAAAACTGACCTTTTCCAGTCCTGTGGCCACTGCTGGGTTTTCCAAATTTGCTGGCATACTGAATGCAGCACTTTAACAGCATCATCTTTTAGGATTTGGAGTAGCTCTGGTGGAATTCCATCGCCTCCACTAGTTTTGTTCATAGTGATGCTTCCTGAGGCCCACTTGACTTTACACTGCAGGATGTCTGGCTCTAGGTGAATGATCACATCTAGAGTTATCTTGGTATCACTAGAGTTATCACACCTAGTTATCTTGGTAATGTAACTTATTTTTAACCATGGTATCACTTAATAAGACTGTGAATTCATTTAATGAGAAAGTCTATACTATCTTTTTAAATACTGAAATTTTGTTTTAAAAAATAGCAGGCATTCAAATATCATGTTTAAGATGGTTTTAAAAAATAGCTAACACTACTAGAGCACTTACTACCTGGTCCTGTTCTAAACACCTTACATGTGTTAACTCATCTAACACATTTAATGCAATAAATCTATGAGTAGGTACCATTATCCCCATTTTACACACCAGAAAACTGAGGACTAGAAAAGTTAATTAGCTAGTTTACAGAGAAGCAGGATTTGAACCCAAGAATGATGACTAACAGTTACACTAAGGTGTCTTCCAAAACACTTGAGAGACAGTAATTTCAAAGAATCAATTCCGCAAGGGTATAACAAGAACTGTGTTGAGTCTGAAAGGGTACTTTAATATTCTCAGAACTTCTTCATGCAGAAGTTTACCAGACTGTATATGATTCTTTCTAATCTAAGAGAACCTGACACAAACACAAAACGGCAGTCCTTTTTACTTTCTATATTCTTTATACTAAGCACTTAGTTTTTGAATAAAAGAATAAGTTTTAAATGAAACCTGACTTCAATTTTGTCAAATGAAAGAGAAGGGGGCTAGGAGGGAGAAAAAGAGAAAGAAAGGAAGAAGGGAGGGAGGGAAAAAAGGGAAAGAAGCATTGTCATTTAATGTTCTCACTGCAACAGCTGTGGATAAATAAGAACCATGATGTTCACTACTTCCCCTCCTTAACAACTGTAGCATCTCAGAGTCACCTGACTTCATTCAATACTCTTACAATTAATCCCCCTCATCTCCTGCCAAAACAACAAAAAAGGGTACCTTTAAACTGCTCTAAACTACAGCAAATCCACTAAACACAAAATGCGACCAATTAAAGAAGCCACAAATAAGTGTTCCCAGGACACAAACGACCTGGAAATTAATGGGGAGAGAAAGGGAATCTAATCAGGAATTAATGCTGATTTTACAGAGGGCAAAGAACATTCTGAGAGTCAGTGTGTCTGTTGAAAGCACTTGGTTTGTGGAGTTTGATTTCTGAACAAAAGTAATTATTTAGATGAAGCTTAAGCTCCATAACAAAGGGAAAACAACAGGATTCCAGGTGCTATTGAAGAAACTGCTGCATGTGCCAAGCAGCAGAACAAAATAATGGATATATCCTGCTGGAATAAATGAGACAGTATGACAAAGACCCGTTTATGATCGTCTATTAACAAAGAAAGGACTAAACTAGATATTCTTGAGTGCCAGGCTCACCAGGGTGAAAGGGGAATCAGACTATAATCTCCTCTGAAAGGGAGTGGGAATCTTTTATTTGAAGCTGCAATCATCTGAAACTTCATTGTTTCAGGGTGAGAAAGGCTATTATTACTTAACAGGCTGGAGGCCCCTTTTGTAGGAGATAATGTCTCCAGATGTACCCCTAACAACAACAACAAAGGCAGTGAGAGGCTCAATGAAATCACCATCCCACTTGGAAAAATTTTTGTCTTCACATTCACAAAATGGTATCCTAACATGAAATTTCACACGGTGTCAGTCACAAACTGACATGATCAATAAGTCAAAAATAATCATGATGTGTTTTTGTCATAAATTTTCTCTAAAACAATATATATTTTTTCTATATATTCTGAGCCCATTAGCTCTATTTTACTGAAAAACATGAAAATACATAGTAATAAATACAATCATTATTTTCCTAAATAATAAATTATTGCAACTATATTTAAGAGTAAATTTACAAGAAAATAATCATATTATATGCAGATTATCCTCTCTATTATGATTTCAGAATATATAAGACAAATACACTGCTTCAGGATTCCACTTTACATTTACGAGTTTAGTTTAGAAGTGTATTATAAATTTATTACTTTAAAATATATTAAAAAATAAAATAAATTAATTGCTAGTTATAGATTTCAATAATTCATGGGAAAAAATGACATTTCACTCATTCAATAAACAATTGTGAGCTCTTGCTGTCATTAGAGAACTGTGGTAGGAACTATGGGTGATAAAGACAAAAGATACACAGCATCCCCAAGAAATGCAATTCCTAAATTCAATTTTATTTATTTACTTTTAAAAATTATTTCAAGTATCTATTTTAAGAGTATTTGTAAAAAATAATAATAATAAAATAAATATATTAAATATAAATATATATATATATATAAATATACAAGTGAAATAGTATAAAATTTTAAACAATATTATACATAGAGTCCTAAATCCAATTTTTAAATCACTTGCTTGAAGGAAGAGTGAAATTGACCAAGGAAATATTGTAAAATATTGTGAGAGGTAAAATACTGTGAGAGTGAAATTGACCAAGGAAATATTGTAAAATACTGTTCAATCCATAAGGCTGTTATCTTTGGTTGCATTAGTTTAAGTATGGGGTCCCCAAAACAAAGAAAAGACCTAACAGAGGAAAGAGGATGAAGAGTTTCCCCGTCTTTCAAGCTTTATTCAAAGTGAGCATTAGGTGTCATTTTAAAATTTTTACTACAGACTGAAGTTTCTACTTAATACACTGTTCATTTGTTTATACCACCTGTCACTTTGAAAAGGACT